ATAGCACTCAATATCAACACCAATAACCAGTAACCTAACATACCAGCACCATAGTTGACTGAGCCGTCATAATTGTCATAAAATCTTTTGTATGCCTCTTGAAACACTCCTGTCATGGTCTTGTCCACTATGAATGGAACGTCAATTGGAATACTCATGTTAAAGTTTGGTATCTCACTAGCAGATTTGGCCTTTTCGTCATATAACTTTATGGCATCGTCATACCATCCTTCGGATACCGTAACATCATAGTAAACACAATTTTCTAGCATAACAGGAGAAGTTATATTTAAAGCTTCTTCGTCAACTTCTCTCAAGCAACCAGCAATGGTTGCCATGTAGTTATCGTTTTCACATTGACAAGTAGTTTCCAAAGGTGAACAAAATGAAACCTCTGACGCAATTTGATCGGTGCAGGCATAGAAAATTCTCTTTTTGCCTAGCTTCTCATAAGGATCTAAGCTGGCACTCGTGAAAGAAACGAAACCAAGCAAAAAGCATGCAAAGTAACTTGAGAAGTACATAATTGAAAATGTGATTCTAATTACTGTAATAAGTCGAACTTTTCTCAAAAGTTTAACTTAACGTACTTCAATCCCAATTTATAGCAAATTCCATTTGTATCGTTCTTCTCAAGCATTACGATATCCATTAATTACATATCGATTTAGTGGCGCTTTCTGCCTTGTAGGTTGTTGCTTCAGTGGAAAAGTTTGATACGGAATTTTTGCTTAGTTTAGTGACCCCATTTAATGGTCATTGTCATTGATTGGGCTTTATTGTATAATTTTACCGCCTTGAAGGTGTTTACACAATAAATACATCCCTAGACACTAAATGCAAAAATTACGCAGATGTTTTAGAGCACCAATATTACACAATGGCTCAGCTGATCCAATCTGATAATTGTTTTATGAACATGAAATCAGTGCTGTGTCCAATCAGAGGAAGGGAAAACTAATAAATTTCATCAAAATAAATATCTAAAAGATCATTGTTTATTATTTGTTCCCTGTAAGTGTGGCCAGAATTAACCGAACACAAAAGCTCGAAGTGAAGAAAATGAAACAAAGCATCTTATTGTTTTCAAGTTTAAACAATTTTCCCTTCTTCTTCGACAAGCGAAACCATTATGGTTCACAATGGACGAAGTCGTGCTTCTCCTTGTAGCCCAGGTTTTTGTATCTGGTAGGTATCTTGGCAGGTACAACTTTCCACCCTTCAAGAAAATTTTAATTTTCAACGTCAAACGCTGAATCTCTTAGCCTTTGCCACAAAGGCAAAAGTATACTCCAAAGCTATACTTTTGCCTTTGGTTGTGTTGTTGTGTTCGTTTTGACGAAAAGGAAGACTTTTCATAGGCTAAGATTTTCTTGGCGTGTAAAACTTTACTTAAATTGGGTAATCCATTTTAGTTTAAGCCTCCCCTCAATTTGAAAAAGCCCCTTCCCAAATTTGCAATTTGTGGATACAAACGTTCCTCTGAAAACAAATTAACTAATTGCAATAGAGAGGAGATTTTAACTAATTTACTATTGTGCTGGATAGTTTACAAAAAAGAACAATAAACTTACGAAATAACACTTGTTGCATCTCTTAAAATCACCTGAAATGCTTTTTTTTTAAGAGAGGAAGTCTAGTGGAGGTGCCATAGACTCAAACAGTTTCTGGAAACTATTTTAGACGTTATAGTACATGCATGTATGTCCGATCTACGGAGAGAGAATTGGCAAGTTGACGTTTAAAGGCACAACAATGGCAGGCAGATTTTAGTTAGTTACTATTTTGTTTTCTAGCAAATAATTGCCAAGTCAATGTAGCTCTAGAGAACCCGTGCATCGTATGCTATATCTCTTTGGGACAAGAAGTAAGATGCATTTAGACAATGCAATAGTGAGGTTAAGCAGAGGTAGATCCTTTGATGAAATCTGCAAATGGCGCATTGTTCAATGAGAGGTTTGTATTACAAAAGCTTATATAAAGACCCATTTTGTGGCCCAGGGTGACTAATTAATAACTAGATTGAAAAAATAAATCGCCTTGGCATCAATTCCTACGCCTCTGTAATATATTTTTTAATTCTTTTAATCATTGGAATGCCGCCAATTGGCTGAAATCAATTGCTCTTAATGTGGAACGTTTATGGTTGGAAAAAGGTCTTGTACATAGACAGGGGCAATATGCTGACTTGTGGATGAGGTAGCATGTACAAATTAATCAAAAGTTCAATGGTTTAATGCACATAGGACTATTGTAAATTATTGGGAAAACTGTGAAATCGTCTAAATCACGGCTGAGCTTCGAATCCATTGAAGTGAGGCAACTCCTTTCTAACCTCAGACACACTTGCCAGTTTCCTTTGATGGCACTAATCCAACTGATATCACCTTCTACTTATCCAACCTTTTCAAAAACAAATCCAACATAAAATCCAACGGCTTCTTTCTCTTCCCCTTCGGCTCCATATTTTCCATCACTCCGTTTCAATCCATCGATTAAATTCTTATTCAACTTACTGAAATACTGAGGAATCTCTTGATTGAAAATGTCTGTGAAATTCTTTTTATACTTCAACACTAGGTTATGTTCTTCGCAGATTGCACGAAGAATCTCAAATGGCACAACATATTCAGGCACGTCGTCAACAGCATCTTTCAACCAATAGCTGTACCTGTTTCCAAAGGGAGGCCTGAATACGCCATCTTCAGGTGGCTCTTTATCAAAAGTGACTGAATATAAGCCATTGCCAAACTTGACTTTGCCAGTCTTTGCATCTTTAAAGTATTGCTTGCCAACGATTTTAGACTTGATAAAATCAGACGAAGGTATAGTTCCAATGAAACGACCACCCACCCTTAGTGATTTGGAAACGTTGGTCAACAAAGTATGGGCTTTTTCCTCAGATTCAAATGCATAATGCAACGCAAATTGAATAGACACAGCATCAACAGGAAATGTCTTTTCAATAATCCCTGGAAAATTGGGCTCCAAAATATCGGGAACATATTGAGTAAAACAATCACCAGTAGCAAAGCAAGCTTCAAAGTTGTATCTGTTTTCAGCACGTTCTCCATTCCGAGGTTTAAATCTCGCCTTTTGTCGTGAATATCTCTCAAATGCTTCACGAACGGATAGATCCGAAATATCAATACCGATATATTGATCAATTTTGATAAATTCACACTTGTTCAAGTCACCTCCTTTCCCGCAGCATAAGTCTAGCACTGAAAACATTGGCGATGATTCTGTATCATGTTTGGCCCAATTTCCTAGCAAGATATACTTTATTGTGTTGTTGAAGTTTCTTAATTTGTAAATTGGAGAGCTAGTCCTAGGGCCCTGACGTTTGGATTGTTGGGTTCTTTGGTTATAGTGTTGCCTGACAATACTATTTATGTCTCGATTCTCCTTGTCTCTGATTCGACTGTGGAATGTATGGTAATTTTCATTGCGTGTACGGCTAGTAGAAGGATTAGCCACGTCTAGGTGCAAATATGGTTGAATCGATTCATCCTCATTTTCATTCTCGTTCTCATTCTCATCTTCTTTTTCTCCTCTATCCTTTTGACGCCCCTCTATCGGTGGGACTGTATCTTTTTCGAATGCTTCTCTAGTTCGCTTCAATCGATCTAATCGCGAGTCTTGCTCTTCTCCTCTTCCTTGGTATGTAGAGGCAGAACTCAGCGGTTCGGAAGCACGACTCATATACGCAGAAGATGCCACTTCTGATTTATGTCCATACTTTTCATACTTTAAATCTCTCTCTTTGTCATTTTTAAGCCAGGCTGGCTTCTGTTTGGCATCTCCATACGCCGATGTGGGTTTGGATGCAGGTGTATATTCTCTTCGCGAAAGTCCTCCAAGATCCGTCCCATTATCAACTCGGCGTCTTTTGAATTCCGGGTCTTCGGAAACCAGGGGTTTTGACGGTAGTGATGAATTGGCTGACATTGCTTTTTGGGAGCTAGTGGGTTGCGTTTCATCTAATGATAGTGCAACTATTATTTTTTTTTTGTTGCCCTATTGTCTACCTACTGAGTGTGAGTAACTACCAAGTGTATTTGATAAAGACATTGATCATTCCATTCTTTAATAATGTATATATATCTACAACTTGCCGTTTATCTTCTTATCGAATAGCTCTGATATTGGCTGAACAATCTTTTTATCGTTTGGAAACAAGTGTCCTCCTTCATGAACAAAAGTTCGTACTTGCTTTGCGTCGTACAAGGTACTCACGTATTCAGATCTAATTGGTGGTACAATACTGTCATTCTTTCCATAGAGAAGAATCACTTCCGTTGGTAGGGACAATCCTGTACTCTTTCCGCCAGCGTCACATAAATATTCAGCAGCTCTTTCAGATATCTCAACTTCCGAAGCGTACTGATTAGCATCAGTGATTTGCAAAATCCGTTGTTTATTCTCATCACTGTAATCACCACTCCTAGGAACAGTTAAACAAAAACCAGAAACGGCCATGCTTATCTTAAAAGGTGGATGAGACGGCAACATCTTCTGCAAGGCATTAGTGATCATAATTGCCATAGCAGCACCTTGGGAAAATCCAATGATGCCGTCGTACGGCCCATTTTTTTCAATGTGATCAATTACAAACCGTATCGACTCATCTAAACCAATATAATTGTTTGCACTTTGCGCATCAAACCATCTAGCATTGCTCCCATTATCAACAATTTGGCTCCATACTCTGTCACTCTCTTCATCTGTAGGGCCGAGTGGAAAACTCAACTCGTGTCTCGATTTGATCTCGTGGCACGGTGTAATATAATCTAGTTGTATATTTAGCTTCTTTGAGAGGATTTTTCGCAATCCTGAAGACTTTCTTGCAAGCGTGCTCCCGCTTTGTAAGTATCCTGGGAGACAAAGAACTTTTGAAACACTTGACATGGGAGGGAAGGTCTAAATAAATTAGTTGATTCAACAACAACAGATATTTTGTTCGCATAATCTAAATTCATTTGTGTAATGTCTCTTTTTTTCAGTGACGAAATATCATCGCTTTTATCAACCTGGCCAAACGACGCAGTTAATCGACATGTCCGAACTAGACGCATTCTTCACTGATATAAGAGAGGAGATTGCCAAAGAGTATGTTGAAACGATGTAATATAAGTGAATACCTTACTAACACCACTCATCAACAGTGTTAACAAGAAATCTTTATTGCAAGAGTTGGAAAACCAATTTGACTTGTCCCTCATTCCGTACCAAACTACAATCAATTCCTGGACATCGGTCAGTCCAAATCAACTAAATAAAGTATTCCAGACCACAAATAGCTTTGAAGATGCGATCCGTGAAAACATTGCAAAATTTACAAACTCATTATCAGAATTAGATTGTAAATCAAGCCAAAAAGAGCGATTATCAAATAAATTTACCGAGGACTCCATCTACATACTATTAGTCAATCGATACTTTTGGATCCTTGCCGCTGCATTTGTCCATGATCCAATAAAGGTGAAATTGATAACTACTCAGAATGAATTGGGCATTATTGCTACGCCGCTGGAAATTTTTCAATCCTTGGGCATACAAGATGTTAATTATCAATTGTATTTAATTGCCCTCTTGAGGCTAATTGAAATTGTTGTCGAGTATACTACAACAACAGTGATAAATCAGTCAATTGGCTCCACTAGTTCACAATCTTCAAATTATTCCATTGGTCTTATAAATCTGAAAATTGTCTCCAAGATTCAAAATGGGTTTCTGTTGTTGGATTTGAAGAACGATATCCTCAGAAAAAAGTACGACAGCTTGAAATATAACTCACAAAGGTTAAATAAGATTGTTTATGATTTGTCGCTCCGTAATTTGGTTACAACCGAAGCGGAAGTGGAATAAATAATAACTTTTGCTAAATGTATAAAACTATTTACTTCTCTTTGCTGGTCTCTCCTCAACTTTAGCATCATCATTTTCAGAGTCAATGACGATCACTTCTTTCTCCGATGTGGTAAGTGGACTTTCGTGTGGTCTTTTAATACTTCCATTCTCTCTAGTTGCAGCTTTAGGCTTTGATCCTTCGGTGATCTCAGAAGATGTGTTGTTATACTTAGCCTCAACCCTCGAGCCATCGGAATTGAGCAACCCCATACCTACCAAAAATCGCTTAACATTGCCGTCAGAAGACAGTGAAGTAGTACTTGTCTCATTTTTTACATGCGCTTCAACTGCACTTGTCTTGATAGCTTGCTGGCTAACATTTTCTTCTGACGAAACTGCTTTAGCATCGACTACTGTATCAGGTCCATTTCGAGAAGGTACTTCCTCCGACTCTTCGGTGGTATCCAACTCTATCACCTCTTGCTTCCTTTTTTCTTCGCGTTGAGCCAATAGCTTCTTTAGCGCATCGTTGTAGCCATCATTTGAATCCTTCAAGTTTGAATCAATTACCCCTCTACATAATTTCAACATTTCGTTTGTGAGGGGGAAAATGTCCTTCTTGGCAATCTTCTTTTTCAAACCAGGTGAATTGAATGTGGAAAAGAAATTTGTATCCTTGTTGTAATAGGTATACACCTTGAAGAAGATTGTCACTATGGTATCATCAATCATTGAAGTAGGACCATATCCATTGTTTGATTTCTTCATATCATTGGCACCATGGAGAAAACACAAATGGGGAACCAATTCGGCGGGGACCCCTTTGTGTTGTAAAAATTCAAACATTGACTTCACATTGGTTGTGAAAATCAGATAAGATAAGTTGTTAATGAAATGATCGGTGTACAAGAATGAATCACCTATATTTAAAGAATCTCGCATCATCCTGCAAATCGTAGCACAAAGAACCTCCCATGCATTGTATAAGTTGACCATTATTGAACTTGATCGCCGAAGCTTCGGGATCATCGTTATCAAGCTATCGATGTCGTTTCTTGTCCTCAAAAGATCAATAAAGAATCGGATATATTGGTATGTGTACAAAAAGTGTTTTCCAGGACGTTCTGATTCAGGTTTCCAAATCAGCACCAATTGCTTGTTCACGGATTTCAAAGAAATGAAGCTTGACATTATCTCATATGCGCCTTCGACATCATTATACTCATCATAAAGAATCCTTGCGAGTCTGTACTGGGCTCGATGCTGCCAATTTTTTTTATCAGCAGCATCGATTTGTTTCAAAGATGACACAATGGCATCGTAAAATTCCCTCTTTGAGTTCACCTCCGTCGCTTCAAGGTGAATTATAGCAGCTTTGCGCAAGTATTCAAGCCCCTGGCTGGGTGTAATATCGCCAAACTTGACATATTTCATGGATAAAGACACCAAAGAATAGTACGGCTCGACAATATTATCAGATTGCTTGGCCCTTGACGCCATTGCACAAGCACTAGCCACTGTGTCCAAGACATGTACCGGCAGATCTTTCAATTTGCGCTGGGTTTTAGACAAGTAATAAAAATCAGACCAGTCGGCGTCTTCTGCTTTGATTGCCAAATTAAATGACTGTTTGATAAGCTTTAAGCAAAATTGCTTGGGTAAGACACTTTTTTCACTAACATTTAAAAAGGATGTACCTGTAGACTTTTTCACAAACCGTGGCTGGGACTGTACCTTTAGTGCTAACATATCCATGGGCTCCGAAACAGCCCCAAAAAGCTCTTTGGCAAATAAAGACATCAAGTTACCAACTATTGGTTTGATGCGTTCCCTAGCCAGCGGGTCAAGAGTCAAATTTATTGCCATCAAGTAGCAAATGAGTGACTTTCTTTGCAAGTTAGCGGTTCCAATCTTCCTATCTGGCACTGTCAACTTATCTGAGGTCCAAATCAAGTCATCTTCCACCAAGTATCCATAAGCCTGACCCATTAAAAACCAGCTCTCCATACGATTTCCTCCACATATCAAATCATTTCTAAATAATGTTATTGCATTTTCAATCTCAACCGCACGTCCCTGCATATTCTTCTTTCTCAACTTGTACGACGAAAATATTAGTAAACCCTGAAGATAGTACAACCCACTAGATCCAAATCTAGAGTCTGTCACTTCAAGATCCAACGACATCAATCCATGGAATGTATCACGTACAAATTTTGGCGCAAGTCGCGTTGTGTCCAAGAAGTAATCAAGCACTGCTTTGTTTCTACTCAAGGCTTCATCAGACTCAAAGTTAGGTTCGCCAATAACTTCAAACATCTCTTCAATTATGACTTTCATGTCATGTTTCGGTACATTCTTGATCGTATTCGTGTGGAAGCATAGTGGCAAAACAAATTTAGCCAATTCCTCACAATCGCTTTCGACTAACTCCTCTTTGGCCAGGGTACCATGATCAAAGGGAACAAACCCATCTAGGCCGATATTATAGTGGTACCTGCACTTTATCAATTGGCTCATATCTTCATCTGCTCCATTTAATTTGCTGATGTACTCTTGCGAAGCTCTCAAAAATATACCGTTGGCTGCATCGCAAATTCCACTTGCTCCAAGTTGAGCATGAAACAATTTTATCGCTGCATGTAAAGATGTTTGTGAGTAGTCATTTTTCAAGGCTGCCAAAACAACAACAATCGTCTTTAAAAGCATATCTTTGAAAGAATTATACGACTGCAATGAGTTTTCCTTAATCGATGTTCGCAACGATGTTATACTACACGCTTCCTCATGCGCCTCAAAAAGCAAGCACATCTCGAGTAACGACACAACGGGCTTTAGGCCCATCCATTCGCCAAGCTGCCAATCCAGTGCTTCCATAAGATGTACAATGCAACTCAAGTTATTGTTGTAGAATCCCAAAACCTTACATAGTGTTGTGAATCTTGAGTCTTCAGCCAACTTGGTATACTCGTCACTGAGGAGGTAGCTGTTGAACACTTCTATACTTTTAATAAAACCGTATGCAAGTTTAGAAGTCAATTCCAGCAGCTTATAAAATTGAAGCAATATGTTCCACAAACTCAACCTCATGTCCACAGAGCCCGTTTCCAAAAAGCTCTTGATGGACACAATAGCCTCACTCTTTTCTCTACCCGAATCGAGTAAAATATCTTCCAACAACGATACCGCTTCCTCATTCCCCTTAGTTTGGTTTGAAAACAAGATTCTCCAGAATATAGCGAGTACTGAAATAACAGTTAACTGTGTTCTAACGTTGTTTAGGTTCAAGTCGGGAAAATTCCTATAGTTTGGATATTGAACACTGATGGGACGATCAACACTAGTTAAAAATTCAAGAAGCTCCTCGAGTAATGCCTGCGTGGTTTTATTCTCATCCCAAGCTACAGTTTGCGATTTTTGTATCAAAATTCTGCACCATTTGTACCTGGCTTTGAGAACATTTCGGTCCTTCTCTGATCCTTGATTGGAAAAGAGCATTGTATTGACAATTGACATCCATTTGTTAATCTTGTCATTATATTTGATCAATTCCAAACACAACCCATTGGTGACTGCTTTGTTGAATTTTTTGGAGTTTACTGTTTGTCTAATTTGAGACTCCAAGCTAATTGACTGGTCAACCAAAAGCTCCAAAATGGCCATAGCTATGCCGGAATCCTGGAGCAGTTTCCCTAAGCCATCTATCAAGTAGCCTTCAAATTGTAACACCCACTCATTGAATTTAGTGAGCAACGATTGACTCCATTTATTTTCAAGGATAAGCGAGCTTTCATCGACATTAAGCAAATTCTTGATCACCCAGGTTTTCAATGTTATGTAATCCACTTCTCGCAGCGCAAGATCTTGCAACACATTATTCTCAATGTTGGATATTTCCGGAGCAATCTCCAACGATGAGCTCTTTTGAATATTGCCGCTGAAATTATTCAAAATTTCAAGCAATTTAACGTTGTCATCTGCCATTTGTGATTTCCCCAAGTTAAAAGAGCTGAATGCTGTTGTAAAGTTTGGTTTCCAATCATTTATCACTGTCACAAAATCCTTTAAATACTGAGTTGCATTTATCCGTTCCAAATACACCAGAGAAATGTCAGTGACATCTAAAGATGGTGTTATTTCTTTCAACTTGGCGATAAAGTAATCTAAACCAGTAAAGTGTTCTTTCTCTACAGCAATTGCTGGTTTGTCAGGGTCTGATTCAACTTTGGCTAAACGTTTCGATGCTCGATGTATCTGTTGCCTTTGTTCTTGGGCCTCTAGTTGCTTTTGCTCGTCATTTTTCTCCTCGGCTTCAGTCTTATTGCTTGTTTCTACCAGTGTGCTTTCAAAAGTACCCTGGTTTTCATTTTCTTCAACACCTGTTACAAGTTTAAGAGACTCTACCTTCTCAGCTGCAACATCGACTTTTGCAAATGATATGCTATCAAGAGGCTCCTCTGTTAGCACATAGGGCTCTATAAAGCGAAGTTTTGGTCGGTGTATATCTTCAATTTTGGATTCATCTTGGCGACCTTTAACAGTGCTATTGACAACATCAATCAAATCCTCCCACGAGAGTGAGTGATCTTTTACCGTTAGTTGAACCTGAATTTTGTTCTTTCTTTGTTGTCGTGCCTGCTGGTCTTCGATATCCCGCTTCATTGTTTCTAGAAACCGGAAGCGAGTATTGAGGCTATCTGAGGCCAATTCGGCAGATCCCTTAGCTGAAAGTTTGCTTTTGAGCACCAGTAGACAATGTTGAATGCCTGAATCGATAGGTAGAAGCCCTGAAAGATCATCACTTTCAGTTTTACTACTAACAGCGTACTCCAAAGTCGCCCTGCCTAGTTTCAACTCTTTCAAATACATCCACAATTCATTCAAGACTTCCAACAACTTCTCATCTGCCTCATTATATAGTAGAGCCACACAAAAGTCATCCAACATTGAATAAAACATCTTTTTGAACCGTTCTTCCAGATCTGTACTTTCATCCTCTATGCGAGATATAAGCGACTCTTGCTTCAAAATACCCATAAACAAGAATCCTCTATTTCTGAATATCAAGTATCTCAACGATTTTAAGTTGGGAGACAATGAGGACAATTCGTCAAAAACGCTATTTACAACTCCATTTTGTATTCCTCTTATGTAGTCTACCTCTTCGTAGTAATGATTTGATATGGTGTCTATCCGAAACAATTGCTCGTAAACCTTGTAGGCTTCGATGTAATCTTGCTGTTTCTGTAGCTTCAAGGCTTGTTGAAAAAGCTTGAAAGCTTGTTCAAACTGTAGTTCTCGTGTATGCTCTTCCTCCAAATCCTTTTTCGAAGTATTATCTTCGAGGACATTCAAGGGCTTGAAAGTTGACTGTTTAGTGTTAGTATATGGATATCAGAAAGGAACTAGATGGTTATACGAACCATGTGTAGCTAATGTATAAAGACGACTATTTGTAGAACACGGTTCTGGGTTTGTTATTTTTTTTTGTCCTCTGTTAAGCGGAGAGAGGATGTTTTGGCAATCACATAGTAATACAGATGTACATTAAAGTCTATTAAAAAAATCTATTTATACACAAATCAACTTAACCAATGTCATACATTTTGACCAGAGGCGAATGTTTTCACCTCAATTTCGTTATCTGATGTACGTTTGTTATCTTCCAAAGAAGAGCGTTCTTTCGCCTCTTCTTCTGCTTCTGCTTCTGCTTCTGCTTCTGCTACTTCTTCCTCTCTAAGCTCTGACTCCTTAGGCGCATCTTTTCCGAATCTTAACCACCAAATAAAGTGACTTGTAAATATACCAAGTTCAAGTGCTATGACAATAGCATATAATATGCAACTCAATACGTCAAATTTTCCAACAACGATACTGAGCAACGAAAAGATGGCACCAAGGGAATCCATGGTAAGGAATACAAAATTTATCCCAATAACCCTACCCTTTCTCTTTGCCAACTCGAAATATGGTGGAATTAATCCAACAGCTAGCAATATTGAAGCAATAATTCCAATGATTAACATTGGCCAGGTGATTCCTCGTCTGTGCAATGGCCTCAACCATAATATAAAACCAAGTTCCAATCCGACACTAACAAGGACAAAGGCACCAGCAACCAACACAAGTTTCCTTCTAGGTAATTGCACTGGTGGATAGTATAATACCTGGATCCATGTTACTAAACAAAAGAATGTGAATAATTGTGGTTGGATTCGCAAAGGAATGGATCCATCGATACCAATAAAGTAGATACTAAAGGGGATCCCACTTGCCGCCCAAAGAAACATCATCAAAGGAGGTAACCCTTGACAATTTTTAACCTTGAAGTTTCTAATAATTTGTGGTACTAGTTGAATGCACCAAAGTATGGTACCAATCGTTCCCAAGACATTCTCCGCAACGGCGTTATACATTTTCTGAAAAATATTGTTTCTTTGTGTGCTGTTATTCACCTCCAAAAGACATCAACTGCGTTTCGACAATAGTGTTTCAAGCCAAGAATTTGCAAAATGAAAAATAAAACTAAATAGTTGACACTGTGTAGATCTTGTGTAATGATGTAGAAAAGAAAAAGTTTGGGCCAAGAAGATGGCAGATTGGGCTTTATTTATAAGCAGCAAAAGTAAAGAATCAGTCTTGTGCTTTTCAGAGAAGAGAAAAAAATAAAAGAGAAAACGTAAAAAAGAAAAAAATATTGCGCCTTGCACCTCATGCGCTTATTCCTTGTTTGCAAAGTTTTTTAGGTGTGTTTGTAGGTGTTCTTCTCTCTCTTTTATTCTCAATACATTATTATATTATATGCAATAGTCTTTTTTTTCCGTTTGTCTTTTAATGGTTTGTTTTTTTTTCTCTTTTTATTTTGCGTTCTATAATCCTTACTTTGGTTAATAAATGAATTTAAAGGCAAAAAGAACGAAAGCAAATGCGCATTTGCTAAAATGAGAAAAACTTTTCAAATGTCATCACGTGCTTTGGCTCAAAGGGGTAATTTTTGCCGTTTACTAATGGATGATGCCACAGAATACAGGAGTATATACAGAACATATACAAAACTAGAAAGTGTATCCGATTGAAGGGAACAACTTACTCCTTTAACTATATGCTATTCACTTTCATACTCAAACTCTAAACTTTCTTCATCGTCATCGGCCTCGGCCGCGAATTCCACATCTGACGCAGAACTATCATCAGAGTACTCCGCACGCCTGTGCTTAGGCCTGTTAAGTTCCGTTTCTGCTTCTTCATTGTCATCAATGTCACTGTCACCGTCGCTATACTCTCTGTAGGTTTTATTTCCTTTAGTACCACGCTCTCTCGTCATCCTAGCACTACCAAGTTCATCCTTTAAATCAAGTTCCTTTTCTTTGTCTCCTCCAACTAATGCCGCTGATTCTTTCTCTGACACTATAAACCCTCCGCCGAAATCATCACCAGAGGCATCCGACGCAGAGTCTAATTCATCTCGAGAAATATCAACACGGTTACGATTGGTGTCATTTTCTTTTCCCGTGGTCTCTGTATCCTCTTCTTCTTCTACTATCCCATGGGTCCTATTCAATCGATGTTTCAACCTCAATTTCAACAAAAAGTACTTCCAATTCTGCAATGCATTCAACTCCACCATTATCCTTCTCTCCTCCTCTTCTTCTTCAATCATGTGATTTAATGCAAGCTCAAGAGCTTCTTTGTTATCCTGGTGTATTACAATTCCCCCCTCTTTTGCATGGGGTGAACCTTTGCCTCTTTGGGTAAAATCGAATGAAGTTATTGCTTTGGCATAGTCAACCCCTAATAGCAGAGCCGTCTTTTGTAACATCTTCATAGTTCTCTGTTCACTTATCCTTACCAACACCCCATTCTCTGGAATCATTGTACCGGTATAAACATCTATATTACCATATTGATTCTTGGGGATCTTTCCATCCTCGATTTTCGGTGGTATGTATAACTTGGTTTGAAACTCAGCATAAAGACGAACATCTTCATCATCAGTTCCAATTTTTTCCTTTGATTTCAAAGCAGCCGCTCCAATCTTTAACACTCTACCCCTCATGTACCACGCCCTAGCTGATCTAAGCTTCTGAACGCATGATCTTCGATACACTGGTAGCAACCTTGCTGATGCATTTTTTGGTCTAAATGTCCCACATATGCTCGATTCATTCTTGGGGTGTATCACCTCATTTTGTCTAAGTTGTGACTCTAATGCATATAACGGATGATTTTTAAAAGCTTGCATGTTGTTCGGCATCCCTTCTGCCAAATCACGTTCATGAAACTCTTTGGCCTCAAAAATATCAATTGTACTTCTAGATTGTTTTCTCTGTAATGACTTCAAAACCAGTTCGTACCACTCCTTATCATCATCAGATCTAAACTCTATTCTTTTCCGGATTACACGTGCATTGTAGTTGATTGAGTAACGTCGTGTAACATCTCGGACTCTCCCAAACTTGTCAAATGCAACAGCATAGAGTAGTTGATTTCTTTCATCTCCTGAAGGAGGCTCAAATGAGTTTGGTCTCCTTTTGGAACAAACCTCAATTTTATGTTTCACAATAGAGTCAACACTGATCCAATGTTTAGCAAATTTGTCCCACACCTCAACCCAAAATATTGGATAATCCGAGTCCTCAAAGTTGCTTTTCGGTTTTCGGCTCTTTGGACTAAAACGTTCAGTTGAATTTTTACCTTTTCCACCTGCTGGCTGTTTCGTTTTTGAAGTTGTATTTTCGGTAATTATTGTAAAATCGGGGGGTTGCAACGATACAACCAACCTCGCATTCAATCCCAACCCTCTCAAAAGTGCAACAAATCCTTGTGCTGCTACATCTCGGTTCCCTCGAAAGTTTGTAACCAATGTCCGAAATTTTTTCTTTGTTACTACATCTGAGTCCTGCACTATGCCTAGTTCATCCCAGCCCTTCCTTAGTAAACCCTGAGACGTAATCCTGTACTTCCCATTGTATATTTCCATCAATTTCTTAATTCCGTCTAGTAATCTTCTTGATTTGATATTGTCTCGACCACTATCGTCATTAAGCAACTGAGATATTTGCCGAGTGACGCAAGCTTGCTTTAGTGATTTGGATATAGATTTGTCATTGCACCAGGAGTTTCGAACGGCAGTGTGTATTAGGAGAAACACAATGTATGTTTTATGCATCAAAACGCGTCGTATTCGCTCCTCATTGCTTATAAATTTAACCTTTTTCTTCTTCTGGGGCTCCTCCAGTGTAGTGTCCAATTGAAAAGTCAAGAGCTGTTCTGAATTCAGCGGTGTTTGTATATCCATGCTATTTGAAGCTTCGCTGATATCGAAAAGCACTTCCTCGAAATCATCAGAATTATCAGATTCCCAACCCTCTTGACGTCCTAAATCCAAATTCACATCTTCAAAGTCACTCGAGTCTTCTGAGTCATGAGAAATGTCACCGTCCTCCGTTTTATGTGTACGACTGGCACCTGCAGGCAGCACCCTTCTCCTTCTTTTTATCGGTCGATTGCTATCATTATCTAAGCTTGCTTCCTTCAATAAATTTTTGTGGTGCAGGTTAGGTAGGTGACTCATGGCTATTCAATAGTCCCTTCTCGGTTTAGAATATTGTAATTACTGTGCTTTTCTGTTGAGGCCTCTATTTGGCCATCCAAAACTTGTTGTGCTAGTTTGCCACCTCCACATTAATTAAAAGAGCTCTCTTTACACGCGATGGTGCAAAATGAGAATCAAGCAAAGAAAAAAAAAATTATTCACTCAGGAAGCCAGATGCAGATGCAACAATTAGTGCTCCAAGATATGATCAAAATATGACAATATGCATCAGACGACGAGGTTATTATCCATTGTCGTTATATATGAACAGGCTTTGCTCAATACGACACAACTCAATCCTAAGTCATCGAGCTTCTGAGCGACTACCGACTAATCTTTATCACAAGCTAACTCAATATGGTCAGAGTGAAGTAAAACTAGTTCCCAAGATCGAACATACAGCGTTATACTCGAGAGTTATTAATAAGGATAAACCGTTTCTGTTGAATGGGAACCCCACCTTTAAACCTTCGCAGCATAGACTCTATCAATTATTAGAGGCAAATGTGTTTCACATCATGTGTGTCATTGAATGCTTGAAACAGGGGAAGGATATTCCACAGTTGCATAATGCATTCTTCAGGCAAATCATGGTCCGGTTGAGCAAAACACAGGAACCTGTTGTTTGCGAAAAGCTAGAGTCAAAGCTTAGAATCCCACATAGTGCAGTGCTACAAATGGGTCTCGAGTGTTTTTCTTCAATTACTGCGCATATAAAGGAGCCTTATACAGAAGATGACCTTATAACATGGATAGAATCGATCAGTGCAAAGTCAGTATCCTCAAGCATGTCGCTAATTACCGAAAACACCCCAGGATTTGTCTTGTTTGATATTCTACTACGAAGTCCTACATTCAAAGAGCTGTTTCTCGTACAATATGAACTATGGACCCATAATATCAAGTTTTTAATGACGCAGATGAGAAAGGATCCGTACATAGTAAAGTCAATGTTGGATAATATGACATACTATGGTGTAATGTATGAGCCGCATTGCCTAGTTCATCTATATCAAACCACGTTGGACTTTCTCATCTCGCCAAACACGAGACAGCAAGTTAAATTGAATAGCAAGTTTTTTGATGGTCTCATTTGGGATCTTGCTGTTTATTCACTTCGATATCAAAAACTCGATCCCATAGGCATTGCTAACGCACAAGAATTGTTAATGTCCCACGTCAGGAACTCTGAAGGGGGATCTTTATCACTAAAGGGATATTTAGGTATAGCTATTGTCATGTCCAGGATTTCATATAACAAAGGAGTAGAGATATTTCAGGTCGCAGAAAAGAAATTTGCAATAGAGACAAGCTCAAAGAAAGACTTATTGTCATATTATCTAACCAAAATTCACCTTGCCAAAACACTGGCTGAAGCAGTAAACACATTCAAAATAGCAAGTAACCAATTTGACTATTCTTCGACGTTATGGCTATTCTTTATTCGAAAGTTAAAGTACCTCAACGTGATGGATGAGAAGAGGGCAAAATTGTTTTATAAGCAAATGTCCAGCTCAAAGGTGAAACTTACAAATGATATTGTTTATGAGTTGTTGCACTTCATTTGTGACTTCACTGTACTCAAAGAGATGCTCTGCTCTGTATCCAATGGCAAGCAAGGTGTTCTCAATAGTGCATTTCGTGCTAGGTACATCCAATTACTTCAGCTCCACGAGTTTAAAAAGGGAGATTTTCCCCAGCTACCTTGGGATAAACCTGAGCTAGAGGAACGTAATAGTCACAATTATGATTCTGTTGAGGACTGCATTACCTATATATACACTACATCTCCTGTCAAGCCTATTCAGCTTATTGTAACTTATCTCAGGTTTGTGTCAAAGTCGGATTCGGCCAAGTTTTTCAAGCTATATCAAGAGGAGATCCTACACAAAGACCACTTACCTAATGCCGCTTGTTTGGAACTTCTTTTGGATACAGCCAAAGGGTCCGGAGACGCCAAAGTCAGTGACAATTTGCTTGCCCCACAATTGGCAATTCGTGAATTTCAGAGAAATGTGAAAGCTACCACGAAATCTTTTGGTATTTCACCGCGTGATGGACTTTGGCAACTGTACATTTCGCTACTTGCGGAATTTGACTATGTTTCCGAACTATCTAAAATTATGAAGTGGTGGCTCGATCTCAATTTCAGACCAAAAAAGGCCACTATTCTTTTACTTTTGAACACTTTGCCAGAGGAGTTTGCGCTAAGACATATAAAGCATCATCAAGTAGCGAAGCTGAAAAAGGATTGGGATTGGCCAACAACACGAGAGTTTAAAAGGTCCAAGTGGTTGCAAAGTAAGTCGATTGTAAATAGATGAATTGGTGAGGTAACGATTGAAAAAGAAGTAGTGAATCTCTGTTTTTGCCCTGCCATCCCGGATATAAATGGATGTTGTATGAAACCCAACTGACCAATCAAAATGAGTCCCTGAATGATCCGAGAACAGAATTACACAAAAGTGCTAATTGCGGGTTCTGCTGCTACCTATCCTCCGGTAAATATAAAAATGAATGAAAATTTATGTCCCAACCCCAGAATATAGTTCTGCTTCGAAATCTAGACTCTTCAATCACACGGTCAATATTCTGTATCAAACATGTTGAGATCATTCACCAAAACTGCAATTAACGTGAAATCAACCTCCCAGTTGAGATTTTTCACTGCATCTGCTATTTCCTTCAAGGATACCAGAACCGAAACTGATGCTTTTGGTCCAATTGAAGTGCCAAATGACAAATACTATGGTGCTCAGACAGCTAGATCTAAGATGAACTTCAAAATTGGTGGCCCAGCTGCTCGTATGCCAATTCCAGTCGTTAGAGCTTTTGGTATTCAAAAGAAATCAGCCGCTCAGGTTAACGAAGCTTTGGGCCAATTGGACCCAAAGATCTCCAAAGCAATCCAACAAGCAGCTACTGAAGTTGCTGAAGGTAAATTGGATGATCATTTCCCATTGGTTGTTTTCCAAACTGGTTCCGGTACTCAGTCCAACATGAATGCCAACGAAGTCATTTCCAACAGAGCTATTGAAATTTTGGGTGGTGAGTTGGGATCTAAAAAGCCAGTCCATCCAAATGACCACTGTAACATGTCGCAATCCTCAAACGATACTTTCCCAACTGTTATGCACATTGCTGCTGTTACTGAGATCAAAGAGTCTTTGATCCCATCATTGACCAAATTGCGCGATTCATTACAAGCAAAAGCCGATGAATTCAAAGATATCATCAAAATTGGTAGAACTCATTTGCAAGATGCCACCCCTTTGACCTTGGGACAAGAGTTTTCTGGCTACACACAACAACTTACCAATGGTATCGAGAGAGTCCAAAATGCTTTACCTCATTTGTTGTACTTGGCCCAAGGTGGTACTGCTGTTGGTACTGGTCTCAACACTAAAGTTGGTTTTGACGCCAAATTTGCTGAAGCTGTTTCTGCATTGACTGGGTTTGAATTCCAAACTGCTCCAAACAAATTTGAAGCATTGGCCGCCCATGACGCTATTGTTGAAGCATCTGGTGCTCTTAACACCATTGCTGCATCATTGTTCAAGATTGCCAACGATATCAGATACTTGGGATCAGGTCCAAGATGTGGATACGGAGAATTGTCTTTACCAGAAAACGAGCCAGGTTCGTCAATCATGCCTGGTAAGGTTAACCCAACTCAAAATGAAGCTTTGACTATGGTTGCTTGTCAAGTCTTTGGTAACAATGCTGCTATCACTTTTGCTGGTGCTTCAGGACAATTTGAGTTGAATGTTTTCAAACCAGTTATGATTGCTAACTTGTTGTCTTCAATTCGCTTAGTTGCTGATGGTGCCAACTCATTTAGAGAACATTGTGTTGACGGCATTGTTGCCAACAAGGACAAGATTGAAAAGACCTTGCACGAGTCTTTGATGTTGGTTACTGCTTTGAACCCAAAGATTGGTTATGATGCTGCTTCTAAAGTTGCCAAGAATGCTCACAAGAAAGGATTGACCTTGAAGCAATCTGCCTTGGAATTGAATGCTTTGAGCAGTGAAGAGTTTGACGAATGGGTCAGACCAGAATTGATGATTGGTCCAAAGTAGAGGATATTTATTGTGTATAGAGGCAAAGTTTTTTCAAGTTTTAGCAAGTAGGTCAACCTGTAAGGCTTAGAAGTTGCTACTGGTGGCAACGTTGGCGAAGTGTACTTGGGCCTTTTGGCACTAGCGCAATAGTCGCTTTGGTCTTGTAGTGTCTGCGTACCCCAGTGCGTAACAGCCAAACAAACACAAAACGAAAGACGCACGCACAAGAGATTCTTCAAATATACAAAAACCTTAACATATCATTTGAAGGAAGGTCATCAACAACGCATGGGACTATCTTCCATTCTCCAACAGATTGAAAAAAGAGGTAAATTACCCAACAAGTCTACTTCTCAAATACCACAAAATGAAGTAAAAGAAACTAAACCAAGTGGGGGGTTTCCCAGAAGTGGCGCTAATGGCAAATCCATCGATCCTGTAGTTGCTCGATTGAAAGAGAAACGGCGACTAGAAAGAGAACAGGCCGAAGCAGCAAAGGCCAAACAAAATGGAAACAAGAGCAAAAAGTCCACTCTTTCTGTGAACCCATCAAGCAGGACAACTGCCTCGTCTGGCTCATCATCAACCCAACGGCCAAGGCAAAGCGCAAAAAAAGCAACTCAACCAGAATGGAACCTGTCGCCACCACCACCAGCCCCAGCTAAAAAGAAACTAAACTTTAGTGCCTTGATGAAGAAAGCAAATGAAATCGACAGTGAGAAACTATCTATCAAATTTCCACAAAAGAGCAAGTCTCCTGAACCAACGGCACCCAAGCCATTTTCACAGAAAAGTGCAACTATAAGTAGGAAACCTGTCACCGCGACCAAAGCCCCCAATGGTTTCAATCAACTTCATAAGAAACAGGATACTGTCAGAAGTAAACCATTACCAAATGCTAGACCCGAGCCACCTATTCGAAAAGCTTTACCAAAAGTGCCAATACCCGCAAGACAGCCAAATGCAAAAATTCAACAACGACTCAAACAAAGGCAATTTACAAACTCAAAAAGTCGTGGGTATGGTTACAACGAAGAAGAGGATGACGACGACTTGGGTGATTTTCTCGCATCCGAAGATGAAGAAGAAGGTGCTGCTGAAGATGAATATAACCGAGATGAGATCTGGGCCATGTTTAACAAGGGTAAAAAGCGCAAGTATTACGAATATAACGATTATGACGATGAAGATGACGACATGGAAGCTACGGGTGCCGATGTCTTGGAAGAAGAAATGAGATCCAGATTGGATGCAGAAAGAGAAGACCGAAGAGAAATGGAAGAGGAAAAACGAAGGGCATTGGAAAAACAACGGAAAAAAATGCGGCAATGAGACAATATCATAGAACACTTTTTACATAACTTTTACGTAACTTTTATTGTATCCTATTACATTACCAATAACAGATATCCAGAATTGATTAATGAATCCTCTATTCAATCAAAATAATGATATCAATGCTATAACTAAGGAACTCAAGAAATCACTGCTTTCATTTACAAATAGACTTCAATCAATTATCCATGATGCCAAATTTGTCAACCTCGTACAACAGGAATTGCAATTACCTTTAATAGCCAACGAACGTTGTGGACTATGGTACATTCCACCAAATGAAAGGACCGATACTTGTTATTTCAAGTCAACTGATGGCCATACCAATGTTTGGTCATTTTCATTACGACGATTGAATTTACATCTTTTGCCAATAATAAACGACAAGCAAGGAATCATTATTGTTGACTCAACCAGACGCGGTAAGCCCATGCCTGATGCTTTATTGAAAACGATACCTATATGGTGTGCTGTTGTGAATACTATTTTTTTTGGCGAGTCGCAAGATGGTTGGTTACGTACACCGTCGATTGTACCACGAAGTGAACACAACTCTATTGAGAAACTAATACCAGAGTTTGTCAAGAGTGTCAGGGAGTTAAACTTGTTTGGTAGATATACTCATAAACTAAATAAGCCTTTGATTCCGAGGTTTTTCTACCCCGGTTGTGCTAGTGAGGAATTGGATGACAATGTGTTTAACATTTGTTGTGTGTCAGTTTCAAAACAAGTCCCTATTCATAAAACAATAACTACTAGAGGCTCAAATGGAGATATGATTAGTTTTGACTATGTTCAAGGATCAGCTGATGACCATGAATTGTGGGTCCCCAAGGCACTACCCGAATTTGATGCTAATTACTTTTGGCAAGTCAAAAACAATTTAATTGACCCTTCAACGGGATATATACCATCATGGCGAGGAGATGATGAATTGGTGAAAATTATACAGGGTATGAATAAGAGTGATGCATCGCTGGATTTGATGGTGCAAGCAGTTGGCGAAACCGAGATTTATTTTGGTTGTGTAAATCATGTTATCTCTTTTGACCAACTTCCATTTAATACAGTTATATTACACGACAATGTGACAGTTCTTGACAAGAATGACAAGTCTACTAAACAAGTACTTCAATACCAAATCCCAAATAATAAAAAGGGGTCAAATATGTTGCGTTCATTGATGCCAGAGATTATCGCAAAGATTGATTTACAGTCACCAATCTCAATCTTGTGTGGCACTGGTAAGGATCTAAGTGTCGGTTTAGTCTTGATCCTTCTTTGTTTAAACTTTAACCTTGATTGGAAGAAGATTGATGATCCACCACCAATTACCAAGACATTGATTAAACAACATCTAGGTAAATTATCCAATTTATACAAGGTTAATCCCCAAAGAAGTACATTACAAAGCATCAATAGTTATTTATTTTCTCAAAATACATAGACACTGCGAAAACAGGTAACACATTTCTAACTTTTGGCACTATTGTAGAAAACGGTGAAATTTTGCTTGATACCATTATGATACTGGTTCCAAGCATCAAATACACCCAAATTATCGAACTCCGATTGTAATGCTTCAAACACGGTATTAATCTTTTTCGATAATCTAATTATTGACTTGATTCGCTCTTGATGATTTTCAGTTTCTTGCGATGATGCTTTAGCTGATAATTTCTTGTTCAATTGAACATTCAACCCATTGATTAAATTATCCGTCAACTCTTGATTTGAACTTTTGATCAATTCCTTAAACTGTGATTCATGCAAATCAAGGAAATTCAACAAGTTCAAACATGCTAGAACGATTATATCTGATTGATCATCAATTAGTCCCTTCTCAATTATATTCTGAGCAATTAATTGCACATTGATGTTATACTTGTCAAGTGTTGTTTCATCAATGGCCAAGATTGAATAAATAAATTCATAGCACAATTTTCTAATCTCCAAACCTTGATCAAGAACATATTTATATGGACCCATAGTAATGATCTTCTTGAATGCCTTTTCTGCTGTAAGCTGCTTATATAATTGAGGTAAAATCAAATCGTTCAAAAGTGGTAGAATGATATTTGGTTTACTGTGAATACCAGTTAGTAAATTACCAACAACAATTTGTCTAATATCAACATCAACGATGTCGAGCCAGTTGATTGATGCCGTTACTAAGTAAGTTAATAATCTATCACTGGTGTTTGACAGCTCAAGGCCACTGATTAAAGACTTGGAAACTACCAAGACAAGATAAATCTTTCTCTGATTTGATTGTCCCTCAACAGCTTGTCTAATCTCGGCTTCATTGATGGAAAATGCAATTGAACCAAGCAACTCACCCGATTTTCTCAATTCAGGGATCAAATCATGATTATAATCAACCTGCAAGGCAAAGACAGTTTGCCAAATTTGCAATTTTTGTATGTCATCACATTGATCAATAAGCACCTTTAATGAATCAATCAACGACCCCCGTATTGACGACAGAGCTTCTTGCTTATATGCATCAAGTATGCGAGGTATTGCAGTGGCAGTATCATTCTCCGCAACTAACCCTAATGCAGTTGATGCTGCTTGCACATTTGCATCATTGGTAAAGTTGGGCTTTTGCAAAAGTTCAATCAAAGAATTAACCAGTAAATCAGGCACTTCAGTTTGTGAAAAGGCTAAAAATAAAATCACAAAGGCAAATTTGGCACTATTGATATCGCCAGTGTAGTAATTGCGGAATTCATTCAGCCTTGCACTAATCAATTCATCCCTAGTTTCATTATCAACACAAACAGCCAAGATCTTGGGCGTTATTGGAACATTAGCAGATAAATTCTGCTCCAATTGGGAATAAACAAATTTATCCAACTGGCATGCAGCTTTAACCAACTGGAAAAACACCTCGTCATCGCCAGTAATCTTTTTATCATTAACCAACTGTATCAATATTTGCACCAATTGAGTACGGTACTCATCATCGCGAATGATTTCATTTGACAAGTGGTTAAAAATCAGGAAAATGTACTGATAGTTTAAAGGACTGGTGACACGAAGTAACTGCAACAAATTGGAAATTATGTCGTCGTATTTTCTTGCAGGTAATTGATGAACAATTTGGTCTAGTAACGTTAATGTAGCTAATGAAGTTGCTTCATTGCTTGAAAGGATGTAGTTGGTCAATTTGTCGATAATAAACAAGGAGTAATCTTGAGGTATTGGCTTCAAATGGTACAAGTTTTTAAGCACATCAATAGTCACTTTACTTGTTCCTTCGTAACCAATTGACGTTTTGAAAACATCCAATATTCTGTCATCCGATGAAACCAAATTATTTGCCAATGCTTCACCAAGACACGAAATGGCAAGGCGTACCAAATCACTAGGGTATTGTTTACTATTCACCACTTTATCCATTAATGAACTCAATATGTTGTCAATGTTTGGTATCTTTGACGCATCCTTGTGTTTGAAAAGTATACTGAGACCTCTTAGAGTTTCCAAAATCAAATTAAAGGACTTGTCTTCAAGATTGGTTGCAAGATCTTTCGAGACACGTTCAATTGCATTGGCATTTAAATTATTGTGGAACTTCAAGACACTGGAGTAGAATTGCAAATAGTCTAACGATCCCGAGGAGATTACATTTCTCTGGCTCAATATGTCAAAAGTGGCTTCAATCAATGGTAAATTGTCAAATCGATTTAAACTCTCAACAATACGAAGAAATAACGGCAACTGTTCTTCCTTGACATCTTCTAAACGATCACGCAATATCAGGCCAATACTTTGCACATTCTGTGAGTCTCGTGGTGATGTAGCCTGCACGATTGCAATGCACGATTTAGCCGCTTCAATAACAACCTGATCGTTTGAATCTCTAAGTGGTAATATCGGCAATACTTGTCTCGACAATATTTCCAAAGTGTCAGGGAAACTGGCAAGTAAGGAACGAATTAATATGGTAGCTTTAGCTCTCAACTTCCACGAATTGTCGTAATCCAGATCATCGCCAGCTTCGATTTCATCGTCACTAAAATCAATCTCATCGTAACCATCGGAATCAATGTCTTCGTCACTATCATCATGCAATGGATTATATTTGAGATACTTGGTGATTATAGCAAGAACTTCACCTTTGAATGTTGTAGATAAAAAGTTTTGTTTCTCCAAGTCAATTAATGTAGTAAATGCCTCCTCTTTTAAAGCATTCAGCTGTTCAAGAAGATCATAATCCAAGTCCTCGTTATCATTACCGGTAGCGGACGACTCTATTTCTAATTTCACTGTCTCATAAATCTGATCAATCTTGTCTGGTTTAAGACCTCTTTTCAAAATGACTGAATATAATTGATACAAAACAAAGTGTTTGTTGTTTAATTTCGATTGTTGAACCTGGTTCAATATCTCATCAACTAATCGATCAATGGCAACCGCTGATCGAATCAAAATGGTAACTCCTTCGAGTCCAACTATTGCCTTTTTACCAATAATTCCCAGCTCTTTGAACCCCACATTGATGAAGTATTTCCCCAATTTTACCAACTCTTCTTGTGAAAGTACGTATCCCAATTCGTTAATCAAATCAATCAATAGCTCGATATTATCAATTGTAGTATCATTGTCCAAAATCAATGGGATAAGAAAATTAGTTATCGATTCTGATAATTCTCGATCATATTTATAATTTGACATTGACAATTTATCGGAAACAAAATCAGACTTGGCTCTTGAATTGGATTGAGCAAATAACGACCGCAAAGCCATGTTGGGAATTGAAATTGTAAAGCTTCTAAAATTGGTTGTTGTTCTTGACGAAGACGTATCCTTATTGTTACTTTCTTGCACCAAGGCAAACAATTTCTTGATCAATTTAACAATGGAGTCATCGTTCAAGTACCTAACCATTGGCTCGAATGATTTCACTGCTTGGTTTTGAACATCGGGGTTGGGGTCGTTCAACATTTTCAAAAGAATGGGGATCAAATTGTTTAATGATTGATTGATGGCGCTTCTGCTGGTGGTTACAGTCTCATCAGTAAGGAATTTACGTAGATCCTCCAATGCCATAAACCTAATGTCTGGATCAACGTCAATGGCTCTATCCTCTAGTACGCGAAAGTCTATATCTGGCATTTGTTGTGATTGAAGAGCAATAGCAATAGAGTGTGGTGTGTATTATTCTATTTTCGAGTTAAAATGGTTTTTGTTGGTTTTCGTTCTCACCCCCAAATAAAATTTGGCAACTACAAATTCTCTTGATAGAGACACATTGCAGGGTTGGCATTAAATGGAAGGTACACAACGTAACTACACATATATAGCTGTATAGCAGTACTCATACTTCAACTTCATTTATAATCAAATTAGATACATCACTTGTGTCACTGGGAGATTCTGATTTGGTTGATTTCTTCTTGTGTTTCTTGTCCTTGGTATCTTTCTTGTCCTTGGTAACTTTCTTTTCATTTTTATCTTTCTTCTTCTTCTTGTCCTTCTTGTCTTTCATCTTGTTCGCCGCGACTTCTTCTTTCTCTCTAACTTCAACTTCTTCCTCCTTAAAAGAATCTGATTTCTCGTTATGCGTTGCTACCTCACCCTCATCATCATCGTGTCCCTTAACTTGTACTTTATCATCGATTAATGAATCTAGTATAGCTTTACATCTCACCACATACTCCAAATTCAATTCTTCTTGATTGGATTCCTGTTCCTGTTCTTGTTTCAGTTCCTCCTTTACCTCCTTTTCTTGTTTCAGTCCCTCTTTTTCCCCCTCGTCCTCGTCCTCTTTTTCTTCCTTATCACCACCATTCAACAACTTTTGTTCAATTGTCCTTTCCATTTCTTCATATTCAACATTCCACTTCTCAATCACTTGTTTCAACTCTTCAACTAATCGGTCCCTTGAACCACCTTGCAAGGTAGACAAGTACAATATCAATTCGTGTTCATATTCCATAGGTATATCTTTCAAATTCTTCAATATCCAATTCTGTTTCAGTTTATTAAACTTCCAATTTGATTTATCATTGGCAAATTGTTTTAAATAAGTTAGTTGATCTTTAACTGGTGGTGGTTTTCTTTCGTTTTTAGGCAACTTTATTCTCTTTGGTGGTTTTTTGTTTGCATCGCTCTTTGTTGTTGATGATGAAGTGCCTAGAGCTTCTTGTAATTTACGTTTATTACTAACTTTCTTCAATTGATTTTTGGTTAAATCAGCAGTATCGATTCTTCTTGTTTCTAGCAAGTCATTTTCATCTTCTTCTTCTGGTTTGCTTTTTTGGACACTAAGACCGGCTCTTTTCCAAGCTGGGATAGAACTCATTGTGTGGAGGGAGTATGAGTTGCTTGTATACTATTTAATGGAGTATGATATATTATTTGGAGAAGAGAGATGGGATTTCATTTTGATGCGCATCTCTCGTTTATAACTACAGAGAGAAAGAGAGAAAAATTTATTTTTCATCATACTCTTCTTCTTTCTCTACCACCATCTGTCCCATGTGTATTACTCTCTACATAGGTTGTTAATACATATACATTTATACATATATATATACATATATATAATCAAGATACTACCACCGTTGTTAACAGTGTGTGTGTGTCTGTTAATTGTAGATTCCCAAAACAAAAGATTGGGGGCAAAGATAGACATTCAACAAAACAATAGAGGGGGCATTTATCATAATTAAATTCCAACCTTTAGGATGTCATTAAGAGACTCTTTGCTAGATTGAAATATAAATACATGGTTTGAGTCTGTTACGAGAAAACTTTTAGTTCCACTTGTAATAGATATAAGGATTGTATACATTTTCTTTATAAAAATTACCCTCTATTTTTAACTGTCCTTTGCTTTGCTTTGCTTTGCTTTGCTTCTTTCATTCCCTCACTTCTTCTCCTTCTCCTCGGTACTAGTTTGCCCATTGGTCTCTTCTTTCTTGTTCTTTTCTCGTTCTTCTTTCCAATTATTGAATTTAGTTGTTAAGTCATCAGCAATTTCCTTTGCCGTAGCATCTTTATCATTAGTCGTTTGCATCTTGTGCATCATGTTTCCAATATATGACATGGTTGATTGAATGTATTCATTCATTTGAGGATTTTCATTGTTGGGGTTTAATATCTTTTTGGCGACGTCTTGAATCTGGTTTAAATCTTGTTGATCTAATTCACTGTGGGCGGCTCCATTGTTGTTGTTGTTATTGTTGCTATTCTGGTTATTCTCGGCGGTAGTGTTGGTTGATTCATTTGCAGGTTTATTGGTATTTTGTGAACTCATTTTTAGTGGGTCTGTGAATATGTTATATGGCACTTCAGGTGAGGTTCTAAGTTTGTGGTGGTAAATTGAAAACACAACTAGATAAATATGATTCTTTTTATATGGCGTGGTCTCTGATGTACAAGTTGTATTGCTCGGTTATTGAGGGTGTAAGAGATTGTGCAATATGTAATATGCACCTCCTTATTGACTTTCCATTTTAGGCAATTCTTTTTTTTTTACATTGTTTCTAAAGTTGTGATCATTAAAACAGCATACCACTTGGCCAACTAACTCCTACTCTCATAACCATGCTTTGCAAAAGGTCCAAGAGGAAGTCGAATACGTCACTATTTGGTTCTACAAGTGCAAAAAAGAAAATACAGCAGATGATAATTCAATAAACATACCCATATACAAATAATATAGTCACCTCCCTCTTTATAGTAAGTTGTTCAATCACTTCTTTTCAGAATTGCCACTACTCTTACCTTCAAGTTTTCCCAACCCTCCTTTAACCAAATCTTCTTTTTCCTTGTCGGACAATTTTTCAAATTTGCCATAAGCTTCAGCAGCTTGAGCTTTTAAATCTTGCTCATTGCTACCGCCTTCACCTTGTGATGCTTGCAATTTCTTGGCAATGTCGCCCAATTGACCGAATTCTTTGTTGTCTTGCTTGTCTGAACTCATTGTTGGTTGTGGATGAAAGTAGTAAACGTGTATCCCTTTTTTTTTGTAATTGATGAAGAAGGAGAAAGTAAGGCTGACTGGGTGAAAGATTTTTTAAGGTTTGCGCTTTTTATTAATTTTTTTTTTTTGTCTTCGGCATTGAACTTTGCGAGGATGCTACAGCATTGTACATATATCAATGCATCGACTACTAAAATACAGACCACTAACAAAAACCAAGCAAATGCCCTTAAACCTACGATCTCATTCTTCTTCTTCTTCTTCTTCTTCTCCCCCAAAGATAATAATTGCCGATTGGGACGAAACCCTAACCACCAAAGATACAATCCAGTACTTGGCTCAAGTTCCTTACATCAACAACTCCAAACTACAGCCCCCATTCAGCCACTATACTCAAATATACATGTCCAATTACGAAGCTTACAAATCGCAATTTGGCCCATGTGTAACCTTAGATGATCACGTACGGTTTCAACAAGGTATGCTTCCAATTGAAATGAGTTCAGTCACTGCTCTTGAACACGATGGCATTTTTCGTGGTTTAACCAAGGACCAGATACGTAATCAAGCTGCTGGGCATGTTGAGTTGCGGCCTGGTGCTGTTGATTTTTTGCAACGGTGTTTGGTGTTGGACAAACAAGTGGTTATTTTGAGTGTTAATTGGACGAGTTTGATTATTGAAGAAGTATTGAAGCGTAATGGGATTGACAATGATAGGGGAGTGAATGGGAGTAAAATCAAGATCATTACTAATGAATTTGAATTCAAGAATGAAGAAGAGCTGCTGTTGGTGGATGAGCAAGTGAGTGGCTCTAAGCTTACTCCTACCAGCACCACCACTGGGTTCTGGTTGCCAAGTCCCGCAATTAGAACGTCTCTGGACAAGTTAACCTATATCCATCAACACCACTCACCTAATGGAGATGAGGTAATGTATATTGGCGATAGTTTGACTGATTTATTACCCAGTTTGAATGTATCTTTGCCTTGTGCTATCAAAGATACCAAATTGGATCAAGTATTGACACAATTGGAGGTTGATCATTTCAGTGGCTCGTGGTTTGATTTAATAAAGTTGATTGAATGAGGATTTAATAGAGGTTGTTGGATTTTATAGATTTTTTCGAACCCTACTTTGCTCTTGTAGTTTTATTAATGAATGATGACTTAAATATATTAATACAACTATAACATAAATAAATTTTCTATTTTAGGGGCAATCGCTAACCAATAGTTTTACAATTGAACACCTCTTGAAGCAACATTTACCATTAAGTAAAAAAAGCTTCGTCCATTCCCACCATTTTCGGTAAAAGTGAACATCATCCCACATGCTCTAATCCAACTGAACATCTATGTACTATCTCCTCCAATTGGGTGATGCATATTGCAGTTGGCCATTGCTATTGCTAATTCCAGGTATGGGCAAATACAGTCCATAAGTAGCATGTGGCGGTGGCCCTTGGCTTGTGCTTTGTTGTTGTTGTTGTTGCGGTGGTGGCAAGCTTCCCGGTGTTGGCGGAACCATAGAGTATTGAGTTCCTGGGGGCGGCGGTGGCACTCCCCCAGCTGTTGATAGTGGAGGAGGGGCACCACCGCCGTGAAGTATCTGCGGATGAGAGAGTTGTGGTGGTGAGAGCTGTTGCTGTTGCTGCTGCTGTTGCTGTTGTTGTTGTCGTGGTGGCGGTTGTGGTTGATTTTGGTGAAGGTGCGGTAATGAGGGATGTTGCTGTTGCTGGGGTTGTTGGGGTTGTTGCTGCTGCTGTTGCTGCTGTTGCTGAGGCGGAGGTGGGTAAAAGTATTGCTGTGATTGTGATATTTGTGGTGGTGGGTAATAGTACTGTGGTTGTTGTGGCACAGCGCGATATTGCGTTTGTGATGGAGTTTGTTGTTGTGACGGTGGTTGCGATTGCAGTGATGGTTGTGGCGGAGGTGGCCCATGCTGCTGTTGCTGTTGTTGGGGATGTTGTTGGGGATGTTGTTGGTGTTGTTGTTGAGGTGTTGCTTGTGTATGAGCTGGTACTGGTGGCCCATGATATGGCGATGGATGGTACAGTGGCACTTGTTGGTACGGTTGTTGAGAAGGAGGTTGTAGACCATATTGTGGCGGAGGTGGTTGCTGTTGTTGCTGTTGCAATGGCACTGATTGTTGTGGTGGTACTGGTGGCCCATATTGTGGTTGTTGCTGATGAAGCTGTTGCTGTTGTTGTAACGATGGTGTCTGATGCACTGATGGAATTTGTTCTTGTTTAATTGGTGGTTGCTGCTGTTGCTGTTGCTGAGGTTGTTGTTGTTGCACTTGTGCTGGAGTTTGCTGCGGTGATTGTCTTTGAGTTTGAGTATAGGCAATCCTCTCATTTGGTGCTAAAGCCACCAAATCTCTCAACAAAAAACTAGGTACATCAGGTGGTTGTCTCAATTCAGGTATAGGGCCAGCATGTTTTGCGGCTTTTGCCAATTGTTCGGCTCTTGACTCGAAATAATTGTAATTTTTCAAATCACCAATAGCCTTATAGCATAATCCAGCTCGGTCACACGCATCAGATGCATCCATCAAATGATCATCACATCGTTCATAAACACAGCTTAATCCATCCCATGCCGTAGCCGTACCCTGTGACCCATCGTCCAATTGCAATTTTAATGCTTGTGAATATGCTGCCAATGCATCTGGTAATTGTTTCAATTCAAGATATAATTTACCCACAGCTAGCCAAGTTATTGGTGAATTTGATGCACATCTCAATGCAACTTGGTATGAATCGTAGGCTAATCTTGGACGGTCCATAAATGAATGAGCTCTTCCTAGTAAATACCAGGGTAAAAAATCGGTGCCTTCATTGATCAATGATTCATCTTCTGGTAATGTAACAATTTTATTCAATATTGTAATTGCTGCATCAGCATTCTCTCTTGGATTTAAGAGTAGCAATAGGTAGGCATTTGTCATTAATATCCTGGGAGAATCGCCCACAGCTAGTTGGGCATCTTCGCATGCTTTAATCGCTCCCATAATATCATTAGCTCGTTCTTTTGCCGTGGATAATGCACACCAAAGGGCGATATGTTCGTCTATTCTTGACAAGGGTGGCGGAGGTAATGACAAAGTTGCCGTTAATTCAGCAATTGAAGTTTCTATATTACCATCGGCAGCAGCAATGGCTGCCAATTCAGCATGAGCAGCTCGAGCCGTTTCAATATCTTGAGTGGAATAATTGGGTTCATTTGCTGGTAATAACGATAAACAATGAGATAGTGAACTTGCAGCGTGACTTCTTGCTCCTGCTCTAATTAAGGTTTGAGCACTAAGAAGCCATAATGAAGCATCTTGAGGAGATAACTGTATAGCTGATTGAATAGCTTGATGTGCTTGTTCATTTAATCCAATAAGAAGGTAACATTCCGACAACTCTTTGAAAATATTCAGATTCTTTAAAAGATTGGGAAACATTTCAATTGAAGCATTCAATTTCTCGATAGCTGATTGAGATCCAAAAGTTTCATTTTGAGTAATATCATTGACTCGAAGTGACAAGCTTAGGCCACACAAAGCAGTGATATTGGATGGATCTCGATGTACGGCATGTTCAAACGACTTTATTGCTGCTTCTGTAAGACCAAGAGTGTTGGCACATTCACCACATTTGACCCAAGTTTCAATTGCTGCTGTGTCATAACTACTGTACACTGTTTGTTTCTTCACCATTGGTGATGGCTCTGAAGTTGTTGTAGTTATTGTTGTTGTTCTCTTTACCATTTAGTTTGAGGCTATAAGGATAGAGGAATTGATGATTGATTTTGTATAAGTTGTGGATGTGGTGGTGGATGTGGTGGTGGATGTGGTGGTGGATTGGTGGTGGTGGTGATGATGGTGAAATAATACAAAGGTGGAATAGATCAACGCGAGATGGGTAAAATCAATGCTTTGTTGGTGATTTTTTTTGCAGTAGTATTCAACGTCTCTCTCTTTGATTAAATGAACGGTGATACTTTAGTTACCTTGAATATGTATATAGATCTTGATAGTAAAAGTAGCTGTTACAACAATGATCACCTTTGGTGGATATATATATAAAAAAAAAAGACCAAAAAAAAAAAGATGTGTTATTGGCGTGGGATCTTTTTTTCCAAAGTCTCTCTCTCTTTCTCTCTTTTATTTGTTTCTCTTGTGTTGTGTTGTGTTGTGTTGTGTTTTATTTTATTTTATTTTATTTTATTTTATTTTATTTTATTTTATTTTATTTTATTTTATTTTATTTTATTTTATTTTTATTTTGATTTATTTTTCGTTCTTTCTTTGCTGTTTTTGTTCAACACAAATCTGGGGAGGGAATGGAGGTGGAAAAAAGGGATATGAGTAACTCTTGTTTCAAGAGTGATGTAGATCTGTTGGTTGTTGGATAGAGACCACCAAGTAGTCTTTTGTTTATATATGTGTATCTAATTGGTTCTGGTGTATATATGTATGTGACAAAGTCTTTGATGTCTGTCTATGGTTTTTTGTCGTAATTTTTCTTTCTTTCTCTTTTAGGAAAGGTGTGAAGTAGTGAAGAGTAAGTCTAGAAGTGACGTTGAGATTGTTGAGTAGTTGAAAGTTCGAAGAAGTAGAAGTAGAAGAAGAAAAAGAAGAAGAAAAGGGTGATAAAGAAAGAATAAAAAGAAAAAATTTATTTTTAATGTTGGAATTTGATTTATCCAGTCAATTTGGTTAGTTTGGTTAGTTTGGTTTCTCGGTTATTCAGTCAGTTAGTCAGTCATGCAGTTAGTTAGTTAGTTAGTTAGTTAGTTAGTTAGTTAGATGGTTCAATTAATTCAACTAGCTTGAAGTATATTTGAGATTTACTTTTAACAATATACATATATATATATATATATATATATAACTTAATCGTCTTGTCTTGTCTTCATTGCCACTCTTTGCTTTTGTTTTTATTTTCGTCTTTGTCATTTCTTTATTTTTTAATATTTTTTTTTGTATTTAATTTTAATTTTAATTTTAATTTAAATTTATTTTTTAAATTTTAAAACGGAGAACTAAAAATTAAAAACAATCGAATAGCACTTTAGTATGTCTTTTATTTGTTTGGTCTTTGTTTGTACTCCTGCATAATTTGCTTTGCACACCCCTGTTAGACCCCATTGCATATATTGTTATTGTGGTATGGTTGTTGTGTCACTCATTTCTTCTAGCATTATAACAATTTGGCTGAAGTTAAGTTCATTTGTATTGTTCTTTTGTAGTTTTACTACATTGTGGACTGTGTTTTGGATTTACGCACAATATCCCAACAATTAGAATAATATACATAATAATTTTATTTACTATTACTATTATTAGTATTAGTATTAGTATTAGTATTATTACACAATAAATAAACGTTTTTCTTTCTCTTTGCTCACTCTCTCTCTTTGTTAAGGAACAATTAAAATTAAAAAGAAAAAAAAAAAAAGAAAATAATATATATTTAGGCATATGCATAAGTAGTGGGTGGTAGTAAGTTACAACCAGGAGAAATAAAAAAATAAACAATTACAATAACACACAGCAAACAACACTAACATTAATTATTTTAATATTGCATTTTATGCATAGTACATTTAACCTACTATGCATAAAATGCAATACAATGAATTTTAGATTATACATATGCATGTGTATATGCATATGTAAGTGTGTAAACTATCAACATCACACTAAATCAAAAGCTATAAAACCTTATTTACCGGGTCCATTGTTATTCTCTGGTTTTTTATTTTAACTGTTGTTGGGTCTTTTTTTCTTTTTTTCTTTACTCTTACACTTATTTTATACTTATTGTATTGATGTCTTCCAGAAGAGATTGTGGGTGGTTTTAGTCAATTTCTTTTACAAAAAGGTCTGGGTGAGAGGGAGAGGGAGAGGGGGAGGAGAAGGGGGAGGGGAAGGGAAAGAAGAAAATGAATACATTAGACCAACAGGATCACACTTATAGAAGAAGAGTGATATGAAGATGTGATAGACACCCACCGACGCAGAACATAAAGGACACTCAAAGACAAAAAGTGAAGTTGTTGTATTGTACTCTCATGGAATTCAAAAATTTGTTGGCAAACTTTTTACGTGTTCGTCTCTGTTTTAAAAAAGACAAAATCCAATTTCACACTCAACCATGTTATTTTGTATATATGTGTGCATTTCTTCTATTTTTTTTTTAGATCATACATGATGTACAAGGAAGTACATACTGTATCCCACAAAATTATTGTTAGAGACAATAGTGGAATTGGAACGAAAAGCAGATTTCTCTCTCGTCAACTAGAATTAAGATACAGTCTTACTGACACCGACACGAGTATATTTTTAAATCCTATACTTATATCCTCAAATGGTGAAAACAAATCTAAACAAAAGTATGCCAAAAACAGAAAGAGATACAGACAGTGAAAAAAAAAAATTGTGGTCCAAAAACAGAAGGAGATAGAGAGAGAAAACAAAATAGCGTGAAAGATAAAAGCACTTCGTATGTATCTCTCTCTGTGTGTCTCTGTCTTCTTTGATACGAAATGAATGACCAACAATTGCTTTTTGTTTTTTTCACGTGTAAATTATGTTGTTGTTATTGACACACACATTTTTTGTTTTTGTTTCGAATTGTTGTAAGTTTGTTATTTCGTGTTAAAGGAAGATAAAAGCTCATTGATTATTATTTTATTGTTATTTTGTGTGTTGCTTTGCATATAGCATATAGCATATAGTATAGTGCATATAAATTAGGTTAAGTTGCTTTCATTCTGTTTTCTTATTGTTTTATACGAAACGAATTAGCTAATCAACATAAACTATAATATCTGCACAAAGACGTCACCAGTAAGGAATACAATAAACAATTCAAAAAATATAGTAAAGAAGTATCTGATTACATTTGTGTAATATTCTCTCTCTCTTTCATTGCTTCTCGTTTGCTATTTTTTATTATTTATTTATTATATTAATTATTTAGATATTGAATTTTGTGTTTTTAAGTTCTATCTCCTATTTTGTTTTGTGTTTACCCCAATAAAGGAATTTCTTCTCTAAAACTAAATTTGTCTTTTCTAAAAGCATCATCATCATCATCTTTTTTCTTCTTCGTCTGTCTCTATTATGTTTTATTTTTATTTTTATTTTTATTTTTATTTTTATTTCTGAGAATAGTCATTATTTTATTTTCTTTTTATTAACGTTTTTTTAAAAACTAAATAAAAAAAATATATATATAAACGTTAATAAAATATATAAAATATATAAAATATTAAGTTGAGATAATTTCCTTCCCCTCTTCCGCTCCATTTCCGGTGTTCTCCCAAAGCTTAAATGGTAGCGTGCAACAAACATACCTATATATATAGGTATTCTTTTTATCGTTAATTTCTACTTTACAGGTATTGTTATTGTCTCCACACTGAATACATGAAATGAAAATACATTTCTTTTTTCCTACTTTCGTCTACTTAACACCATTTCAAAGGTTATGAAGGTCCTGCTGCAGCTGCTACTACGAGTAAATTGTTGAGACAATTGAAAGCATCTTTACTTAAAAGATGAATCTACCCCCTTTTTGTAAGACTAATAACATCAACAACAACAACAACAACAACAACAACAAAGTTTCAGATGAAATACACACAATATGCTTTGTATACACAAATGCATAACCACTAAAAACAGTCGAGTTATTTGCTCTACCAACTCTGCTGCAACCTTTGTCACTAAAATATCAATGCATGTTAATAAAAACCCTAACAATAATAATACAATAGAGTTTACTGTCAGATGTGTATGGTCGTGTACAAATTCCAACAGATATAGCGTGACTTGGCAAAGCGCGGGAAAAATATAAGTTCCAAAAACCTGTTGACATATTGACTTCTCGAGTTTAACTGCCAAGCAAAGCACAGTCAGATACCGTGGGTCTTAATTTGGCTATTACTGAAAATGGAGAAGAAAGCTGAGGAAACACATCATGCTAATGAAAGCTACCTCGGCGATGACTTAGAGAAACAACAAATTGACGATGACGGGTTGGAAACAACTTCAGTTTCCCAGGAGCAACATCAAGAGACTAATCAACCGCAAGATAAACCAAAGAGGGTTTTTTTTAGCATTCTTGAACCAAGCAGCGTTTGTTCGGGTCTTTTGGATCCTTTTTTTTACGCACTTTTTATTTTGAAACCTCACGGTTTCCAGTCAATTTGTATCCAGTCGTTTTTCGCAACTTCGTTGATAATGATCGAGCTAGGTTTGCGCATATGGAGAAAACTTACAAAACGAGGAATTGTCAAGCATAGTTTAACTTGCGTTTTGATGACGGTTTTCATTATGAAATTAATCGTGATAATTATGGCAATAATACCATATGCAAAGAATGTTCCGTGGTATGAATTGTTTGAGAAGACACAGAGTTTGCTAAAGATATAGATGTAATAAATGGATGGATGTCGGATTGCTTGTCTGGAATGAATATTTTCATCGTGAGTCTAATAATTGACAAGTCGTCACCCTGCCAGCAACTTTGGACTCTAGTAGTTCAAAGTAAAGATAAATCAACCCTTAGAAGCTATTATATATACATGAAGAATCTATAACAAAGTTTTATTGAAGAGGCTTTCTCCCGGTAAGTGCAGTCTGTTAGAGGATATAGTATGTATGCCAATGGATTATTTTAGTTATTCTCAAGATAAGGCAATAAGACCTGGTATCAACAACAGTATAATTGCCCCACTTATCCAAAAACCAAAGTGTAAAGTTCTTGTCTAAAAATTAAATGAGCAAATCATAAGTCTTTACTTGTCCACGGTAGTATCTCTAGTTGCGCATTTAGTCAGGTTTGGTACAAAATACTTAAATTTTGATAACTTTTCTTCTTTTCCTTCTTCGTTTATATTCCAGGTGTCGAAGAGTAAGGAAATTAATAATTAGTTGTTTAGATCCAACATCATCTTTCACACTGTGGTGATGTTCATCGAACCGTATGCGTGATATTGCCACTGTTGTGTGATAATTCCTTTGAAGGGTGTATTAATGATTTTTCATCTCCATACTTTCTGGATTGATATATCTGCGACGTAAAGTTTTTTGCGACACTGGAAACCACGACAATGATTGAGAAAAAATTAAAACAAAAAAGGCTTCTTAATGAGAAGACCAAATTCCTAGCAACACATTTGTATACATCAAACACCCAACAATAATGCTACGACTGCTCTTCTTCCAAGCAAGACCAAAATATGCCCTCACATTATTTATAAGAAGACAATCAAACATAGCATTGCCATTCTTGTACAAGCTAGAACCAAAGTGTCGATCATGCGGGATAAAATTACAAACCACTGATCCATCAAAACCAGGTTACTTCATTCAACCAAAAGATGCTGCCTCCACCTCCGTCTCCACTTCCGACGATGCGAAAAAGTACATTAAATATGAGAATCAAGTGTATGAGAAATTAAAAGATACATTACCTCCAGAAGATCAAGAATTACTCCTTAGTAACAAGTTTAATGATTCTCCAAAAGAGGGGGAGAACAATGGCGACTCTCCACCAGTTAATCAAGATGGTGAAACTGTACGACAAGTGATTGAAAAGTTGTATACAGTAGAGCCTGATGAAAACAGCCATGATTGTATTCGATGTCGACAAATGACTTATAATTCAAACTATGAAATGGATGGTAAACATTACCCCATTGATCAGTTATCTCACGTTATGGCCAAAATCCCTCCTGATTCGCCAGTTGTATATTTGTTCAGTGCTAATGATCTCCCTATGGGTATCAACCGTGATATATTCAAGTACCGTCCCGCAAAGGACTTGTATTTCATAATGACCAAAGCGGACAATTTAATTGAAAAAGCCAAAGAAGCATCACAGAATTATACTAAGCAATTTGTTCAAGATTACTTGCAAAAGAAATTCAATGTGCCTCGGAACCAAGTATTTGTCTCATCGGGGAAAAATAATTGGTCGGTGCAACAATTGTATCATTTCATACCTAATGGATCATACATCATTGGAAACACCAATTGTGGTAAATCAACATTGATTAAAAGTTTATTACTCGATGAAGAGTTGTCGAAGAAGAAAAAACTTCAATTGGATACTAAACATGAACATGTGAAATTACCACCTAGTTTAGTCAATAAAGTTAAACAAAAATTTGTTTCTTCGTTCATGACAAAAATCGGCCCTGGTATATCCTATTTGCCCGGATTCACTCGCGATATAATCCCTGTCGATATTGGTTTAAAGACGGCTTACGATGTGCCTGGTTTCAATACTAATGAACAAATGCATCAATTGTACGATTCGTTTAAATCGTCAAAAGATATCCATCGAATGATTAAGGGCGCAGCTACTTTTCAAAATGGATTGTATAAATCGCCTTATATTACGGTAAAGGGGCCGCAAGTGATCAATCTTGAAGGATTGGGGTTTGTGCAGTTGCCTAAACGCGGGTTATATCAATTACGCAATGTGACCAATATACAGCCGCATATCTTCAGTGACATCGTGAAAACTAAATCCCTCCTTCGTAATGGTGTGCCACCAGCATTGGAAAACAAATTTGCCATTGGCGTTGCCGGGAAGACATTGGAGACTGATTTTGCAAAATTTTTAGTACCTCCATTCTATGGAGCTATTGATTTAGTAGTTGAGAATTTCGGTTATTTCAACATAAAGCCAGTGGGCACGAAACGGACCAATGAATTGATCAAACTATATTTGTATCCTGGAGTTAAGGCAATTATACGAGATCCTATAACTAATTATATTGCCAAGACTTTTAGTGGTAAGGACAAGTATGGCAATTTAGTGCGCAAGGATGAATTTTTCAAAAAGAGTCGGTTTCATTTAATTAGGTATCAAGATGCTAGTAAACCTATTTATTCAAGTTTGGTTCCAATGGCGAGGAACACTAGTAATGATGACGAGGGTGTATTTAAATTTGAGTTGATGAGTCAGGATGAATTGGGTGAAGGTGTTGATGCTGCACAAGTGATGCAGGAGATTCGTAATGAGGAGTATAAAGTGTTGAATGAATGGGCTAGCAGAAGCAATGGTGGTGGTGATGATGAACGAGTATCTTATGATGATGGCTTTGTTATGGATGAACTGACGAAATTCACCTTTTGGAAGGAGTAATTAAGATGAGACGATGAATGGGTGGGGATAGTAGAGAAGAACCTTTGTAAATAGAATGTGTTAAGACTGATAGATGCAAATAGACACATGATTTGTAGAAACTTTTGCTTTAAGAGTTTACTTTATTCAGAAGTTGTGGGGGAAAGCTAATACCTTTCCCTGCTCTCTTTCCCCCTTACCATACAATAGTTGAAGAAGAAGAAAGTAGATCTGTTGTATTATAAAGATATGGCACAAGTGAACTCTGATAAGACAATAAGATAAGTTTCCATTACAATCAATGTCAATGTGAAAGCCTAAAATTTGTACCCCAGTTTTGACACGTGTAAATACACGCGCGTAATTAGGAAAAGAAAATAGAAAGTACGCGCCACGCGTAGCAATTACACAGGAGGGAAGAAAAAAAGAATAAACTTTCTGTGTTTGTCCCAATTAGGTATAATAATAACCTTGAGAAGAAAAAAGGAGACAAAGGAGACAAAGGAGGCAAAGGAGACAAAGAAAAGAATCTGTCAATTGATTTCTTTTCTCACTCTTTTGTGTGGGGTACTGTTGGATTTATATGATTGTAACTGCTATGTGGAAAAGAGAGATTGCTGTTGCTGTTGTTACTACAAAGGATGGAGAAAAAGGGATCTGCAACGATTTGATGAATCTGGTCGATCTTTTATCGTCTTTTTCTTTTTTTTGTTTCAATTTTAGTCTGCTTTAGTCTGCTGTGGTTGTTTTAGTCTGCTATGATGTTGTTTGTGGGTGAATTGTCATTTGGTGTTAATCGAAGAGTCAAAAGTGTAGACAGTTTCCTTTGTTTCATGTTTTGCTCTTTTATTCTTTTATTCTCTTTTTCGACGCTTAAAACAATAAAGCTAAATATAAAGTGTATATGTGTGTCTATGTACAATTTGTTTTAGTTCAAAGGAGAGGGAACTAACAAAGAATAGATTCTGCTTGACTTAATATCTAAGAGTAGGTACACATACGTTATGTGATAGAGACGAGTGTGTTGCTATAGTAGTGTGGTTAGGAGTCTGAAGGTTGGTGGTTGGTGGTTGGTGGCTGGTGGCTGGTGGCTGGTGGTGATGAGGAGATTTTTTACCTGTTGTCAAGTGATGTGTATATAATGTGTGCTATTGTTTAATTATAAGCTTCCATCGCGTTTTGTGTTGTGTATCAAAATGCTACTAACTGATGTAAAAAGAATGAGAGAATGAAAGAAACTTGTTTCAGTTGGACTGTCCCAATTGAAAAAGAAGAAAAAGCTAAAAGCTGAAACAATAAGAGTTGTATTGTATTATATATCTCAGGTTACTGGGATTGTGTTGTATTAGGAAAAGCAAGATATGAACTGATTCTCTTCAATCTTCTAATACTTAGTAATTATAGTATTGTGCATATTTATGATTATGACTGAAGTGGTAATTACATTATTAGAACAGATCAGACAGTTAAAGAGACAGACAGACAAAAAAAAAATTTTTTGTTTTTTAGCGTGTTTTTGTGTAATATTTTATATCTCAGTTTATTTAATTACAAAACAATAGACAATTGTTTTGGGTTTTGTGTAATTGTCAAAAGGAGTTTTCAAATTAAAACAAACAAACAGACATACAACACTTCACCACTCCATTTAAAAATAAAATAATATATTATTATAATAATAATGATACATTTATATATATCTATATATACAACAAAGAACATCACTACACTACACTACACTACACAACACAACAGAATCGACACCATACTAGGACCGCTAGCACTAAGCCATTTTCCCCCTTGATACCCACCGCCACCACCTACAGACAGTAAAAACATGTTGCGCAGTCAAAGTATTTCCGATATCAATGAAAAAAAGACTTCATCAACGTCAAAACTATTCAATGCATTCAAAAGACTGAGTAATAGCAATAGCACTGCTTCAACTGATATACAAGAAAAGAGAAAGTCACGTCCCTTAAGCAGTAGTATATCAGCCCTCAATTTGAAGATATCGGCGCCAGTTCTACAAGAATCAACAAGCACTACTAAGAACCCATCCTACCTTTCCAATCCTGATAACAAAGAGAATATCAACCACCACCACCAACAACAACAACAGCAAAGTGCCAAGTTGAAGACAAGATCAAGTACACCTAATTTAAATCGTCGGTCATCAGTCTATTTCTCAGGTCCTGACTCTAAACCAACTGCTGCAACTGCTAGAATGCTTAGAACTAACAACAGATATTCATTTATCGCTGGTAACAACTTCCAAGCCCATAGCAGCAAAGACTTAACCAGTGAGGATAGCCATACAGGACATTCCATCACCAACAACACCGCCTCATCATCAGCTCACATTAGTCCGGCAACAATTTCTTCACAATCAGATTCAATTTTTGATCAATCGTCAATCAGTTGTGTTGGTGATGACGATGATATTGATAGTGAAGCAGGTGGAACTGGTGCATCTTCGGAAATATCTTCAATACATACGGCTGAAACTAGTAACGAAGCAAATTATGTCTATGCCAAACACAACACCACCGCCACCGCCAAAACCAAAACTAAATCCACTTCAACTGCATCATCAACCATACCTGAGTCGCCATCCTCATCAATAATCTCCACATCAATACCCAAGAAATTGCATCGCACGACAAATCTTTACAACTTGAATGAATTTATCAATAAACTAAGTATCGATGCCAATACATTGCCGGCATCTTCTCCTTCTGCATCTTCTTCAACCTCAATTCAACAACCACTGACGGAAATGATATCAATGAGTAATCGAAAATCAATTGAATTTGAAAATCATCAAATAAAACAGTTGAACAATAAATTAAATCTGATTGGCCACCTTTATTCACATAAGCAGGCTCCTGCTGAAGCTTCATATCATTGTCAAATTAAATTAGTGGAAAACGTGTTATTCCTAACTACCCACACCGACCAAGAAGATGTACAGCCTAATGGACAAAATAACACCAACAGATGCAGTTTCGATTATGATTTGAAATTGGATGAGTATTTGGATGTATTGAAGAATGAAGAATATAATCTTGATGCATCATCCATGGATAGTAACATATTTGAATCGGATGGTGATCAATTATACCTAATGTACTAAAAACTACATAAACAATAAAGATGCCGTTGATGATAAAGTCACTAATTAGCTAGGTTGTGTATAATTGTAATAATGATAAGCCAATGTAAGTGAATCTTGATGATAGTACTGAGATAGTATCCAACTCTCTCGGATTGTGTGTAGCCGTTTTACCACCACTCTACAGGACTTTAAAATACCTAGCCTACATCCACTTAGTCCCACGTGTAAAAAATAAAATCAAGTGAGACATAGTCCCACCCGGATTTGCACGGTTTCCTTGTTGTTATCACACCATACACTAAACCCATTACTGAATCAGTATTGATGAAAAAAAAAAGAATGCGGCTTCTGTGGCTCGAACACAGTACCTCCAGATCTTCAGTCTGACGCTCTCCCAGGTGAGCTAAAGCCGCTTTGCAAAAGAAAACCCACGCCGGGATTCGAACCCGGAATCCTTTGATTAGAAGTCAAAAGCGATAACCATTTCGCCACGCAGGCTGTTCTTGTCTTCTAGGGTCTTGGTGGTTTTCCAGAATGCGTTTAATTTTGATTTTGAATCTACAGATCTAGCTGTATAATTTACCTTTTATGGGTACCAATTGCATTATGCGGGTTCTGGTAAATGGTGTACCTAGCCCGTATTCTCAAAGATTTGAATTTTTTATGTTTGGGTAATTTTTTTGGTCCATAATTTGGTATCAATCTTATTCTAAAGTGTATGGAAATAGCAGGTAACATTTTTTTTACTTCGTTTCCGACTCAATTTAGGGCCTTTAATACCAATAGGTTCCACGAAGTTGATTTACACTTTACAAAGATAAGAGAAATGACTCATTTTTGTAACAACAAATGTAAAATGGATGACCAAGTCCAAAAAGAGTGAAACTAAAGCAAAACCCAACTTGCTCGGCATGTAAACTAGGGTCATCATTTATTGCTGAATCATGACTGAACCTCTGGAAGAAATAGGCATGAAATACAATTTACCCTCATTCAGTGAAGTATTAGAGTCATTTGACCATGTATATTATATTGTGAACTTACTTGCTCCAGTAGTGAATGTAATATCATCCTTTTGGTCTCCAAATAATCATAGCATAATTGTTTTCAGTCATGGATAGTTGACATTCTTGGCCTATTGGTAAAGATTTTCATACAAGTAAGCTACATGGGAAGTGGAGTTGTCCTTTTCATTGCAAAACTACCGTGGGAAGAGATTTGTTCATCGTATATCTTTCTGTAAAAGTATTTAATTTAACTCTAAAATTGGTGACTGGGTTATTCAGCAAACTAAGGCTCATACTCTCTAGCTTCAATGCTGAACTGAAACCCACCTTCGAAATCTCCCACGATAACTGCGTAGTCATCGCCACCATTTGGTATTTTAAGGTGGTCCACTGCATGTAAAACATCACTTCCGTCGAAAGATACATTTCCATCATCCCCAATTGTAACCTTCAATGGATCGCCTGAACTCAACAGTAAAATATCTCCTCCCTTAGTGAGATTAAGCTCGAGCTGTGGAGTAACTTGGAAAAAGAATTTTTGTTGTTGATCATCATAAGTAAGGACAGCAGCTGACGTTGAGGTATCATTTTGAACGAAAAAGTAGTCAATAGCAGCACCTTCGTGAATGTATGTTAAACCATGGCCGTTAATTTGGTCAAAGTCGGACTTGGCAAAGAATTGGTAACGAGTTTGGGTAGCTAAAGCTTGAGCGGCCAAAGCCAAGATGTAAATAGATTTGAAAACTTGCATTGTAGAAATCTTTTGTTTATTAAAGGATTTAGGTTTAGGAAAGGGGAGATTCAAAGGGTTTATATAACCCAAGTTTATTTCAATTTATTAGTCGAGCCACTGACAATTACCTTTTATGTTTACACGTAAACATCTAGGAAGAACGGGGATTGTTAATTGGTAGGCAGTTGGATGGTCAACAACCCTTTCACCTTACCATAAACGCCGAATGGTTTTATTTTTGGAAATTAGAAACAAACAAGAAGTTCGGAATTAAATCTCTCCTCAGAGTTATTTACACTATTTCAGAGATGTTAGTAAGCTGAAGTGTGCGTGCTTTTTATGGATTTATATAGCGGTAGATCTAGAAGTGCTCTCAAGTCTTGTTTGCCATGAAAGGGAATTTTAAAGCTTTGGTCTTGTTGTGAGCCACCCACAATTGAGCTTAAATTTTCAATAAGGGGATAGAGGATAATTTATTGCATATTTCATTACATCTAAAAACCGATGTGGTGTTTTACAAGTTGTTGCAATTTCGTACCCAAGGTATTATTTTTTCAACTACATACTCTAATAAAGAACGGACATGAAAAGACTCAGAAAGAGTATCCCAAAAGCAAATGTAAAGCTTTACATAGCTTAAAATTAAGCAGCATACGTTCTTGCCTCAATGGTAAATGGAATACCATCGCTTTGACCATCAACAATAACAGCATAGTTGTTTTTAGAGTAGTTTTCTGGGTCATGGATATCTTTCTTTGCACGTAATGAGTCGCTGCCAGGGAAAGAAACAAACCCATCGTCCCCAATTGACGCCTTCAATGCTGGGCCTTGCCTGAATTGCAAAATGTTTCCCAACTCTCTAACGTAGTATGTAACCAGTGGACTGTACTGAAAGAAAAACACTTGCTGTTGGTCATCATAACTAACAATAGAAGCTGAAGTGTCAGCATCATTATTTGATACAAAGTAATAATCAATAGCACTAGCTTCATTCACCACGTGGTGGTACAACCCACGTCCATTAATTTCCTCATTGTCTGATTTTACAAAAAATTGATATTGAGTGACTCCAGCTAATGCTTGAGCGGCCAAGGCTAAAATGGAAATAGATTTGAAAAATTGCATTTTTTGTGTGAATGGGATGTACTAATGATAATGTGTTTGATATTGATGAGATAGGGCTAATGGGTTAGAGCTTCGTCTGGTTTATATATCCTTCAGCTTCATCCCAACATGTTTCGGAGGAACCTATTAATAGCACTTTATTTACCCTTTCTTTCTACCATTCAGGAAGAAGAGGTTAGTGATTCTGTTCGTACAATGATATCTCCGTTCACAGTTCCACTCGCTGTGCCTCATTAGCCATCTTTACTCTTTATTTTTGGAAACAAATAATCAAACCGGATTTAAGAGACATAAATCCGCCGCCTTTTCTCTCCGCAAAAACGTTTACAATTTATATGCACGCTTTCCATGAAACAATACGATGCCTTAAAAGATTGTGCACGTTTGAAAACCAAGACATTTCTGGGAATTTCAAAATTTGATGTGGATCCAATCATGCTGACCGTGGTAAGTGAAAAGTTATGACATAATTCTATGTTCGCATGCTCAAATTGACTGAGACTTGGGTCTTAAACAAGCTTTGAGACAAATATCAATTTCAATCTTGCCTAATAAGACTTGCTACTATTTTAATAGTACTATTTCAATGAAATGTGTATTTTCTAATAACTAAAAAAGCACAAAAACCAAACTGGCAACACTACAGGCGGTTAATTCACATTAAGACGAAACATCTTTTCTTGCTTCAATGCTAATTGGAATACCATGTGTTAGTTTTCTAAAAAGAATGCCGTAGTTATCCTTGGAGTATCCATAGTGATCACCAAAGTCCTTGACAGCGTACAATTGGTAGCTACTACCGAAATCTATAACCCCATCTTCGTCAATTGGAATCCTCATTGGTTCACTTGTAGCAGTCAATTGTAAAATGAAATGTGTGTTGGTAAGCACGCATTTAATTTCTGGGCTGACTTGGTGGTAAAACTCTTGGTTTTCGTCATCATAAGTAATAGTAGAAGCTGAAGGAGCATCAGTGCCATTTGAAATGAAGAAGTAGCTAATATTGTCACCTTCATTGATGTAATATATGCCGTTACCATCAATTTCTTTGTCGTCTGATTTAGCAAACAATTGATATTGAGTCAACTCAGCTAGTGATTGAGCAGCCAAAGCTAAAATGGATAAAGACTTGAAAAATTGCATTATTGATATAATTTGAAGTAAGACGTTGTTGATATTAATGAGAAGGCGAGTTAGAGCTGATGGGTGGGAGTTCCAGCTGATTTATATTGTTGAGAACTTAGTCGGTTCTTGTTTCCAGTAAGAGGGGGAACTTATTAATAACAGTTTATTTACTGATACATTCAAGAAGAAGTGATCTATTCATTTGATGATTACCCCTTGCATTGTCTTGCATTGTCTTGCATTGCTTAGATTTATTTTTGGAAACAAATAATCAAATCGGAGTTAAGAAACACAACTCCGCGTACACAAACAACTGGAAATTTTAAAAAAAAACATTGGGCAGATTGCCTAACAAGCTACTTTATTTTTCACGAGAGGAAGTGGTTTGAGAAACAACCCTTCTTTCAGTTTACCTACTTACAGTTGTCGTGAAGGTCCAACCCCGACAAGTCAAATAGTTCTAAAATAGTTGTTTTCAATGCGACATTTATTTATAAACTATATGCTCTGTTATGCTACGAAAATGCAACCAATTGTGGCGAGTACCCAAAAATGCAAACATGAAACTTACTTCAACTTAAGATGATTCATATTTTCTAGCTTCAATGCTGATTGGGATACCACCATGGTCATCCTTAACAGTAACGGCAAAACTATCCTTGGAGTATCCATATGGGTCATTGATGTCCTTAACGGCACTCAAGTATTCACTACCATTGAAAGAAATAGTACCGTCTTCACAAATTGTAGTCTTCAATGGCTCACCAGCACTCAATTGCAAAACACCACCCTGTTGTGTCAAGACAAATTTGATTTGAGGATTAACTTGGTAGTAAAACTCTTGTGCTTCATCATCATAAGTAACAACAGAAGCTGAAGAAGAATCAGTACTGTTTGAAACAAAGTAGTAGTTGATAGCAGCACCTTCATGAATGTAGTACAAACCACGTCCATCTAAAACATCGTAACCGGCTTTTGCGAAAAATTGATATTGACTTAAACCTGCCAAGGATTGAGCAGCTAATGCCAAGACGGAAATAGATTTAAAGAATTGCATATTTTTTGTTATTGCTTAGTGTTTTGAATGTGAATTTGTTTGTTGATGAGATGAATCGAATTGGGTTGAAGAACGTGGGAAGTTCTGGTGGTTTATATATTCACTTGAATCACCCTCGTAACCCTTTGTGAAACAGTGCATGACCTATTATTAGAATTGTGGTTACATCTGTTTGTTTAGGTTTGTATATCGGAGACACGCAGGTTCCCATCCCCTTGGTCTTATTGTGGTTCTAATTGTTTGTACCTGATCATCACTCAAAGGTTTGTGTAATTGGTCCATGCAGGCTTCTACACATTACGTCATTAATCTGTATAATCAATGTATCACAATATCAAACTATATTATTATTATTATTATTGCTATTATTCTTCTTCTCGCCAAAACTCAATCGGAAAAATTATTTTTGGAAACAGACAAACAAACAAACAAACAAACAAACAAACAAAACAAAAGGGGTTCCATTGTGGTATTGTCTATGGTCCCTGCAATTGTAAATACATCTCGGACGTCTCCCGTTTACTAAACTCTTACAATTGTAAAATGCCCCTGAAACATGTCAGTTGGGTGGCTATGGCTAGTGGCTGAAAATTGTTGCTTTCCATACATTGCTCAATCTTCTTTGTGACATCCCCCTATTTTAAGCCCAATTAGGCGATACTTCCATATGATGCCTATTGGATGTATTGGTTTTGTGTAAGTAAACACAACATGTGATGAATGTTTAACCCATGATTTCTACAATTAATAGGGTAATTTGTATATCTTGCAAAATGACGTCAGCTAAACACTCTGCCACAAGTCATCGCTTGACAAAGCTACATAACAGATAAACTATAAACTACTTATCAAGTAAATAATATTTGAAACTAGCAACTCCAGCAAACGAAGCAAACAACTCCTTGTCGCTGATCGACCAGTTTAATCTAGTCTCCAAGTATAAAGCTCAGCTCAACATGAACTCACCCACAAGAGGCACTAATCACGTTGATGGTGTGCTGTTGTGCTTCTGGTGTGATGTGATTTTGTCTTTGTTGTGTTGCCCAGGTTTTTCTGCTGTTGTTTCGTCTTGGACATGAAATGGTAAATGATGCTGTAGACCTTTACGGCGTATTCCCTAGAACATGCATTAACCAAATTTGACGAAATGCTCTTTTGGCTGCTGTTTTTATACTATTAATTAAATAGAACTTCATTCACTCCAAAGAGGTCGTGAGATACTTATACGAAATATACATCTTTCTTCTCAATTCAGATGACTACTCAATCATAACATTCAACAACGAGTCAATGACCGCAGTGGCAGCCAAGGCAGTTATTCCACTGTTTGAATCGTAAGGTGGACTCACTTCAACTACATCCCCACCTATGAGATGACGTCCCAATTCGGTTCCCCGCAAGCCTTCCAATATTGCCAAGAGCTCTCTCGATGTAAAGCCACCAACTTCCATCGTTCCAGTACCAGGTGCATAGGCCGGATCCAAGACATCAATGTCCACTGATATATAAACTGGCGTGTCAGACTCAATGTCTTCAAGAGTATAACTACCAACCAACTCTTTGATTATCCCTTGAACTCCGATTCTATCAATTGCCGTTGCTGCAATTACTTTGAAACCACACTCAGCATCATGCCTCAGATCGAAGTCAGCGTCAATCAATGGTGCTCGAATTCCAACATGATAATTACCTTTCCCGCCAATGAAGCCCTTTTCATGAGCATAATGCAAAAATGTACCATGATTCAAACTCATGTAATTAGTGATGCCTCCTCCTAGTTTTTCTGGATCCCAGGTGTCAATGTGCGAATCAAAGTGAATGACCTTGATCGGCTTTCTCCACTGCTCATACAAGTTACGCAACGCCATTAATGTGATTGTATGATCACCTCCCATAGTGATCACTCGTGGTGTTTGATACACTCGCCCGTGGTGGTTGTTGACAATGGCTCTATGTCCACGATAAAGTTGGTTTAATGCTATTCTATTATCAAATGGGGACATAGCCACATCTCCACAATCAACAATGGAATAGTTGTGAGTAGATTTATCAAATACGGTGACATGCTTCTTTTTGGAGTTCAAATTCTTAATTGTTGACGGATAGCTTAGCCTTTTAGCGTTTGATCTAATGGCATCGGGACCAAATCGAGCACCAGGTCTAAATGAAACACCAGTATCGAAAGGGGCACCAACAATTGCCACATCTATAGGCTCATCACTGCTATCTTTGAAACAATTGAAATGGGGAAGGTGCGCGTACGTGACAATACCACCAAACATATTCTGGTCCATTTCAATATCAGAAACATCGTCCTTATCGGGATATCTAGCTTGCGTTCTTCTTTTCATATAATGGTGAAGAATGTTTTCGTAATAAACATCAGGAAATTTCTGCTCATGAGTGGAATACACTCCCAAACTATCTTCTTCTTGCTGGGAAACTGCGAATTGCTGAAATTCAGGTTGTTTGTAGTTGTCATGTACCAAGTCGCCATACAATTGATCAAGCAATGGTGAACCAGCAAGGTAGTGCCCTGCAGCAGTTGAAAGTATGAACCAAGCAAAAAGCATTTGAAGATCTACCGTCTGAGTAGTGAAGCATCTTGTGTGTGGAGGCTAGCTTATTTATAAAGTAAGTTTTCAGCACAACGGAATTTTTTACTGTCCGCTTTATACAAATTCCGCGATTCCCAAAAAGGAAAATAGAGTTGCGCATACAAAAGCTTTTACAAATCTCATTCATTAGATTACATAAATCATCGCTAGACATAATAAAATAAGTTCAAACCCTTGACTTGGAGTTGATATCTTCATCACTATCAATCTCTTCAACTTGCACTCTCTGCTTGTTACTAACATCTATGTTGTTGTGAAACTTTTCTGGACCAAGAATGATGCAAACAATCATGTAAGAAAAGACTGCTCCGCAAAAGATACACATAACTTTTCCATAGTCAAACATATCGTCGGATGCACCTTCGAGGAGGAACCTTTCCCCGAGTCTTGCTTCGATTGTAGCACTGGCTGAACTAACCAAGTTACCGAGCTGGTATACCAACCCTGAAATCAATGTCCTATTTGCCTTGTTGACCGTCTCGACCAAGTAAACTGAGGAGATACCCCATGCGCCAATAATACCACCATTTAAGAAAACATAAGCCCACCAGTTTTGATCAGCGTTAAAGAAAGATGGGTACAAGAAAGCGCCACTAAAGAGCATACATATAACCACTGTAAGTCTTCGACCAAGTAGTTCTGAAGCATTCCCCATCAAGGAGCCACCTATCATACCACCAATGTTACTGACAACAACAATCACTGTCTTTTTGTTCAAGCTGACACCAAACTGTTTAGTGAGCATGGTGACATACAAATCTTGCGCACCATGTGTGGTGAAGTTGAAGCCACTGTACAACAAAACAAGGTAGACAAACAACAACCATTCAGTTTTCAAGGTTTGCAACACACTTTTATCAATAAAGGTTGTTTTATTGCTTTTGTTGTAGCGCTTCTTCTTTTCCCTTGTTTGGACAAAGTCAGGGGATTCAGGGATGCAAGCTCTCCATGTGCACAACAAGACACTGAGCCCGGCACTAAACCAAAATAAACTTCTCCATCCTTCGCCTTCTTTGTAAGTTCCAGAAAAGGCACGATAGAAAACCATTGCCAAAATGTATCCAAAGCAATACCCAGGGATAAATAATCCCGACAAAGCAGACCTTGCCACAGTGGGCTGGCCTTCGAGTGCCGTGATCATAGCAATAGGATACATGGCACCCATCAAAATGCCAAATATGGCCCTAACCCCTAAAAACTGTTGGTATGTTTGAACAAATCCTGTGCCAATCTCAACCGGAATGAATAAACCACAGACTGCAATGTAGCACCATTTTCTGCCGAACCTATCGGCAGCTATACCAAAGATAATTGCACCAATGGATCTCAACATCAACACCAAAGTAACACCCCAAGTAATATCAGTAACGCTCACTTGCAAAGTGGTAGCAATTTCAGGTGCAGATACGGAAACACAAAAAAAGTCCATGGCGTCTAACGACCAAGCAAGGAAACCTAAGAAGTAGAAATGCCAATCCAAAGTTGACATCTCTCTTAAACCAGTCATAGGGTTGAGGACTTGGTACCATTTCTTCTCTTGATGGTATACTGGCATGTCTAACAAGTTGGGTATTCTTGTTGCAAAATAGTGCTTGATTGAGGCTAGCGATAAATCTGGTTTTTCATTAAATAAATCATTGGCATCATCTGATTGCACCAGCTGATTGCTCAGCGATGAGTAAGGGGAAATGTGTTCTACTTCAACTTTATCTTTCATCTTGGTTTTATGGTGCAATGAAAGTGAATTGGAATATAGGGATATATTCTCTGATTTAAATAGACGACAAGGTGGTGAGGATTTACATGTCAATAAGTACTCATCAAATTCAAATTGCAATGCTTGCCCAGTTCGTAACACTTGGTGCTTATCACCTTGTACTTTAGAAAAAGTGAGGAGATACTAATACTGTAATAACTCTCGTATTGTTTCTCCAAGCAAACGCTGTCTTGATAGTGAAACTTGTTGCGAAAAAAGAGAAAACAAAGAAAACAGAGCAATACTTTAAACCCTTTTGCAGCTACTAATAGCAGATCTATTTCCAACACGACACAAAATGGATGTCGAAGAAAAAAATAATCGAGAAAAAATAGAACAAATTATTTTGTGGGGAAAGGGGACATTTTTTTGTGTATAGTCTCTGTTAACAAAAACTAATTTGTGTTGGGGAGTTTGTTCTATAAGTGGGGAGGGTATTTCATTGATCAACCGGATAATGAGCACAGCTTCAAAATCTTGGCTATTTAGCAAATAGAGAAAAAAAGAATTTTACAGGTGGGAAACTAAAAAACGTTTTGTTGCGACAACAGTTAACCGATAGCTCCCCTCTCCTTCATCTTCACCTTAAGTGATTACGAGAGGGGGGAGGATATTCGTACATTATTATCCGGAACCGCACCTTTATGATAGTTGAGGGGCTGTAAAAGAACTCCGAAGCTTGATGCATGGAAGTGGCCTCGTAAGGGGAGCAAATAAGACGGAGAATAAAAATGGGCGTAATGGTGAACGGAAATACAATACAATGCTGTAGTTTGAATATACAAGATTTTATTTACTGCTTTATTAGCTGTGATAGTCACTACATTATTTTTACAACAACTTTCACTGGAAGTACGAACAATTACCATAAGTTAGTAGACCCTTAGACTTTATACCGTCCACACTACTTCCCTTCCATACTACGTCTCTAATTTCTCTTAAACATCTCCCCGTAAGAAGGAACACTAACTTTCTCGTATCTAGCTTTTGACCAGCGTCTGATTGCCTTCCCTTTCCAAATCATCAAAAGATAACTTCCATTAACAAATACTGAAAGTGCAAACATAGTAAAGGTGGTCTTCATTAGCCCTTGTGCATCTATCCATGGGGAAATAGCAAAGGAGAATCCCATACCAATCATATTTCTAATAAACAAAATCAACACAAGACTCTCACTGGCTAATTTCTCATAACACTCGACAGCATAAACCAAACAAATTGCTCCTGAAGAGCCCATTGCAAAACCCATAAAACCAAGACCTAGAACAACTGAAATAGCCCAATGGCTTCCATAATAGGATCCCAAACCGTACGCCAAAATACCAGCGGCATTCAAAATCGTTGGCACAAGCATGGTGTGTAACCTATGTTCTGGTTCCAAGATCCCATTGTTGCGCTTGGCCATTTTGATGGCAAACCAATCGACAAATGGTCCACCGTAGAACATTCCCACCACACTACCAACAAAGAGTCCCAATGTCGTCAAACCGACATTGTTAACACTAAAGTTGTAAGGTGCACCTGAGTATATTTCTGACTGTGTATTTACAGTAAGGGACAACCAAAACATCTGGAATCCGTAAATCATACCACTCCAAACAACAGCAGGGAAAGTGACTAAATACAAAGGTTTCACAAAAATGCTCAACCAAGATCTTGTGTCGTTGTGCTCAGTGTGATACAATTTATGTTTCTGCCAGTAGGTCAATTTAGCCTGATCTTCGTCATCTGAACTGGAGTCAACAACAACCTCAATGTTGTCCTTTTGTTCCCTTGATGCAACTGACTGTCCTGGTTCTTGTGACTTGATCTGGAAAAGAATTTCCTCTTCTAAATGTTCTTCTTCACCCGTAGGACGCCTGAAGGTAGTCTCCTCCATCCAGAAAAATTGAAGTACTAGCAAGGGGACAAAGATAATAATTAGGATATAGTAACACCAGCTCCAATCCATGCTATCTGCAATGTATCCAGCAGCCACTGGACCCAAGTCAGTACCTCCATATAATGCCAATATTAGCGAGCTAAATGCAGTAGACCTCTCATGGTGGAAAAACAAATCGTTTGCTGAGATTTCAACTAATGTGTCAACCGGAGACGCAGCCAAACCGGCCAAAATTCTGAATGCATGGAAGTAGCCAATATTGGAGGATTGAGAACCCATAGCGCATGCAACTATCGCAAGGATAGTACCCAATCTGTAGACAAATACTTTTCCCAACTTCAACGCAGTCGGCTGAATGAACAATACACCAACTCCTAACCCTAAATAACCGAGAGCAACAGCAACCCCTAGCTCAGAATACGTTGTGTGGAACTCAACGATCCAGTCAGAAAACAAAGGGGTCATGAAATTCAAATTGAGGGCCAACATGAACGACCAGAACCAAAGTAATGCAAATTGAAAGTTTCTTTTCGTTTTGGACCATCTTAGTGGATCGTTAACATTGGATGATGGCTGAGGGTGCAAGATGATATTACCTTCGCCCTTTTTTACATCCAACGAGGAATGCATATCGACAAGATGGACAGTACCTGGTGGGAAATTGAAGTCATCGTGGGTTATTTGTTGTTTCTCTTGGTCAGACATGGCCGAGCTATTACAGTAAGAGACGTATTGGCCACATCTTGAAATCAATGCAATAGGCCTCAATTTAAATGAAAGTGATGATAACGCTAAATAAAGTCTTTACTATTGTTTTTGGCGGGTTGGCTCATTTTAGATGCGCTTTTAGACAACATGCATTAATAAATAGATACTTCAATTACAAGGCCCATACACCAGGATGTTGATCTTATCGTTTCAAAGATAATGTTCATACACTTTTCGACAAACCTTTATCAAACAACTTGAGATAAGCGAACTTGTAGTTGACATCTTGGTGTAGAATTGTCTCTGGTGAGAGGCTGAAGGTTTAAACATCTATTGGTTATCTTCTGCAATCTAGTACTAACTAGTTAGACTGTGAAGAGGCATCAAGAAAGTTAGCACCTTAAAAACCCCAGTTTGACTAATATTGTTTGGGATCAGATAGGTATGTTTTCATATTCGTTTGTGGGGGGGGGGGGGGGCGGAGTGGGTATAGAGCAGACCCTAGTAGTGTATGCTAAGAAAAAGCTTATCTCAACTTTCTATCATCTTTGTGTATTACAAAAACGGAAAAATATTCCGATGGAGTTTACATACTTTAAGAGAGACAAAAGATCTTTAAGACAGAAGGCAAGTATCTTCTCAGGCACTGTTTACCAAAGAGGGGTTTGCACCATCTGCAATGAGAACGACCTAATGGTTAGCTCTCACCAAACTTGAAATATAGTAATCTAATTTTCTTTTCACCTTGAAAGCCCCATTTCATTGCGGGGCTGGCAAACCGAAAAACTAAGCAAAGATCGGACGACACCGTTTAAATGTGTTTTTGTTGGGGTATAGTGCACTCAGGACCTCCTTTCCAATCTACTTATTCCTTAATCTCAACACCTTCTCTTACAGAACTCAACTAGGACAAAAAAGAATTAAAAGGGTCTCTTTATTACCATGACTGATAACTACACTCCATATTTAGAGGAACCTGTACGTTTAGCTATTTCCACAATCTTTATCAAAATCGTAAATTCGTAACTCCAATAAATAAAACCTACTCCTTTCTATCAGACTTCATCTCATCCTCACTACTTCCTTCTTCAAGCTGCACCTCGTCATCATCACTAACATGCAAGTTATTGTGAAACTTTTCCGGTCCCACCAAGACACATATAATCATGTAGCCAAAAACAGCTCCACAAAAGATGCACATCACCTTTCCGTAATCATATATTCCATCAGCTCTCCCTTCGAGCGGGAACCTCTCTCCAAGACGAGCCTCGATTGTAGCACTGGCAGAACTCACCAAATTACCCAATTGATAAGCCAAACCTGAAATCAATGCTCTGTTGGCTTTATTAACCACCTCCAACAAGTATACTGATGAAATACCCCAAGCTCCCATTACACCACCATTCAACAAGACATAAGCCCACCAGTTTTGATCAGCGTTAAAGAAAGAAGGGTACACGAAAGCACCACACCAAATCATGCAAATGATAACGGTGAGACGTCGACCAAACAATTCCGATGCAGAGCCCATAAGGATACCCCCAATCATACCACCAAGATTACTAACAACAACAATAACTGTCTTCATGTTCAAGCTAACCCCAAACTGCTTCGTTAACATGGTGACGTACAAATCTTGCGATCCATGTGTGGTAAAATTCCACCCACTGTATAAAAATATAAGGTAAATGAACAATAACCACTCAGTTTTCAACGTTTGTAAAACACTGGTGTCAATTAGCTTGTGTTTCACCTTATTCTTTTCATTGTAGCGCCTTTTCTTTTCTTTCAACTTGATAAAATCGGGGGATTCAGGAATCATGAACCTCCAAGTGATTAACAAAACACTCAATCCAGCACTAAACCAGAATAAACTTCTCCAACCTTCGCCAGTCTTGTAGGTACCAGCAAACGCGCGATAAAATACCATTGCCAAAATATACCCGAATGAGTAACCCGGTAAAAACAATCCTGATAAAACCGATCTTGCCACAGTAGGTTGTCCTTCAATTGCGGTCACCATGGCAATGGGATACATTGCCCCCATTAAAACACCAAACACCGCCCTCACTCCGAGAAATTGTCTGTACGTCTGCACAAATCCCGTACCTATTTCAACAACAATGAAAAGTGAGCAAATCGTTATATAACACCATTTCCGACCAAACTTGTCAGCAGCAATACCAAATATGATAGCTCCTACTGATCGAAGCATCAATACTAAAGTAACACCCCAAGTAATATCGGTGACACTGACACCTAATGTAGCGGCGATTTCAGATGCTGACACCGAAACACAAAAAAAGTCCATCGAATCCAACGACCAAGCAAGAAACCCCAAAAAGTAAAAATTCCAATCCAATGCTGTCATTTCTTTTAAACCGGGAATCGGGTTGACAACTTGATACCATTTCCTATTCTGATGGTATAATGGCAAGTCTAGCATGTTGGGTATCCTAGTAGCAAAGTAATGTTTGATTGATGATAATGATAGGTCTGGTTTTTCATTGAACAAGTCATTGCTATCAGGATCTTCATTTTGATGAATACTATGCGATGAGTATGGCGATAGGTGCTCTACTTCTGGTTTATCTTTCATAGTGTTGTTGTCCTGTCTGTGGGTTTAGAGCAGTGATGGTAAAAATATTTTGAGAGTTGAGACAGGAAGATTTATATAGAAAAAAAGAGGTGGGGGGAGGGAAGGGCTACTGAACATTATCAAACGTTACTAGATCTGCACCCCAAATTCAATTACTCCGAGAAAACAATGAAAGTGATTCAAAAGACTAAAACTCAACAAAAACATATTGTGGGGGAGATAATAAGGTGATAAAATTTGTTTAGTTGTCTATGCATTGTTCCTTCGTTTGCATGGTTTTGGAACAATAGCAGATTTTATTTTGTCACCTTCAAATTTTAACTCCATTTGCAGCCACACTATTCTCTAACTTTGCTCATGCTTAAAATGCTACACAAAAGACACATGTTATTTTTTTTTGTGGGGATTGTACTGTGTTAACTACGCGGAGTTTTATTTAACCTTTATAAGTAAAGTTTAGATTCAAGTGGAGGATACTATTTAAAAGGAGGGGTTATAAGTTACAAAAGCAACATGATTTACAGTGCGTCAATATATTCTTGGCATGTTATTACTTAAGTGTCAAAACAGAGGTAAGAAAAGTAGATATAAAGTTGGTAAAATGCCTCAGAAGTCGTCAATCGTCAATCGTCAATCGCCAATCGCCAATCACCAGTCTGCAAACCCCGCTCCCCCCATTTCATACACACTGTGGTTGCTAATACATTAGAGAAGGATCAATAACAGAGGTGTTTGGCTCCTTAATTTATTTTTACAAGTATCGCAACACAAAGCTATCTATAGATCTTTAAGCTTTCTATTTTGCTGGGCGCTGTCAAGCTATGTTCCATTTGGGGGATGACATTGAAACAAGGCTATTCTTTCCCATTGGTGAAAAATAAATAGACCAAGAGTAAAATAAAGTTCATACTAAAGTGGTTCGCCTGACACCTTACATGGGACAAGATACTTAAAACTGCATTCAGCTCAGCTAGCGGTGTATTCATAATAAAACTCCTTGTTCAATCATACACAGTGCTGTTTTGCACGGGTTAAAGTAGTGTACTGGATCCAAAATGTCTCTCCCGCTGAGTCATAATTTTCAAAGGCAATTTCCCGCTTTTTTTTCTTTTGATAAGGCGCCAAAAAAAGAATAAAGGCGTGCAATAGTGCTCAAAATGGAGAAAGAAAAAAATTAACCGCCGATAATTTTTCACTGGAAATTACATACCTCTAACAATTTACTAGTTTCTTCCTTTTGCTGCTTAAACCCACAATTCCTCCCCAGCAATGGTTCAAAAAGTTTTATTATTAGGTTCAGGTTTCGTTGCTAAACCAACTGTTGATATCTTATCCCAAGATCCCAACATTGAAGTCACTGTTGCTTGTAGAACATTATCCAAGGCCAAAGAATTGGCTGGTGATAATGCACAAGCAATTTCATTAGATGTTAATGATACTGAGGCTTTAGACAAAGAAGTGGCCAAATTCGATTTGATCATTTCTTTAATTCCATACACGTATCATGTCAATGTCGTTAAATCAGCCATCAAGAATAAAAAACACGTTGTTACTACCTCGTACATCAACCCGCAATTGAAAGCATTGGAAAAGGAGATTGAAGATGCTGGAATCACCGTTATGAACGAAATTGGATTGGATCCAGGTATTGATCACTTATATGCTGTTAAAGCCATTGAAGATGTTCATAAGGAAGGTGGTAAAGTAAGGTCGTTCTTGTCGTATTGTGGTGGATTACCAGCACCAGAAAATTCCGACAATCCATTGGGTTACAAGTTCTCGTGGAGTTCAAGAGGTGTCTTGTTGGCATTGAGAAATGCTGCCAAGTACTGGCAAGATGGAAAGATTGTTGACGTTAAATCAGAAGATTTAATGGCCACTGCTAAACCATACTTTATCTATCCTGGATTTGCATTAGTCTGTTACCCCAACAGAGACTCAACTACTTATAAAGAATTGTACAATATTCCAGAAGCCGAGACTGTCATTAGAGGTACGTTGAGATTCCAAGGTTTCCCCGAATTTATTAAAGTTTTGGTCGACACTGGATTCTTGAAGGATGAAGAGACGGAAATTTTCACCAAACCAGGTCCTTGGAATGAAGCTACTGCTAACTTAATTGGCGCCAAATCATCATCACCAGAAGATATCATTGCCAAGATTCAAACTTTAACCAAGTTCAAATCTGCCGAAGATGAAGAACGTATTATTGATGGTTTCAAATGGTTGGGTTTGTTATCCGATAAATTATTGACTCCAAAGGGAAACCCATTGGATACATTGTGCGCTACCTTGGAGCAATTGATGCAATACGAACCAGGTGAGCGTGATTTGGTTATTTTGCAACACAAGTTTGGCGTTGAAAATAAGGATGGTACTACTGAAACCAGAACATCCACTTTAGTTGATTATGGTGATCCAAATGGATATTCATCAATGGCTAAATTGGTTGGTGTTCCTTGTGCTGTGGCTACTAAGCAGATTTTGAATGGTACTTTGAGCAAAAAGGGATTATTGGCACCAATGAGTTCAGAGATTAACGATCCAATTATGAAAGAGTTGAAGGACGACTACGGTATTTACTTGGTTGAAAAGACTCTTTAAGTGGAGCATATATGTATATATGTATGTATGTATCTATGTGAGTTGATTTCCTCAGTCATAGTAATCATCGTCATCAGATTCAAACCCTGACGAATAACTCAGAATGATGTTGCTTATATCTTCGACTAGTTCTCCTTTATCTTCAATTAAATCATCTAGATTTAATCTCAAGTTTTCAATTATTGTTTGATAAGGTTTGAGGAGATCCTTGACACCATTGTGTACGTTAAATTCAACATGATATTTTGCATGCTTGTTTTGCAAAATGTTTGGAAACGTATCAATTTCAGCCATTTGGCACATATATGGGTTCTTGTACACATTAGTGGGTACCTCATCTACTTCAGCACCCCCCCTGGTGCCATTTCCATCTAGCTTATCTTTATTGTCCACAATGCAGTTTTTATTTATATATCGTGCATTTTCAGTGGGCTTGGATATGCCCAAATTTATCTCCGGCTCTTGTGATTGTTGCGTCACCACAGCTGACAATAGATCATGAACTTTAGTCAAGTCAACATCCATCATCATGTCTCCTAACGCCGTCTCATCCTTCTCACCAACGATTTTAATCTCGTTCACAATTTTCCTGGCTTCGTCCCCACGCAACAAATTCTCTTGCATATGCAACATATTGACTTGATCAATATACTGATTATTAATCCCCCAAATCAGATTGATAAAAAGGGCAGGTATGCACGAAGTATGCCATACTGAACTTGCATCTATGTCTGACAACATTGATGAATTGTAATCAGGAGACAAAGGAAAGAACAAACTCAGTGATTTATAAAGTTCAATAAATGACTTTATTTGAGAAACCCGGCGCATTATTGGAAGATTACCTGCCTGCAGTTGCTGATTTACTTGTCCATAGATCCATATGTTTTCCTTGTTGTTGAAAAACTCATCTTGAACAACTTCAATCATTGATGTAGTAAACCCACCCCATGAATCATTCCAAGAAGTGCCAATTTGCAATCCTTGTAAAAAGTCACATTTTTCTAACCAGTATCGAAAGTTTTCGACTGATTCAACTTCAATGGTTTTGAATTCTTCGACACCTGTTGAATAAATATCAAATTTTTGTGCTGGTAAATTATAATTTGACCCCAAATCGTTGTATTCGTGTTGAAACGAAGGTAAAGTGATAACCGATTTTGGATTGTATATAAGTTTGTTATAATCAGTCCAATATTTAGTGTTCCCCGTGTTTAATAACGATCCATCGGTTTTGCCCTGGTCTAAACTAATTTGATATTCATTCTTCTGTAATTGGGTGTTGGCCAGCTGTTGATTGGATATTGGCATGTCCAAATGAGGAACTTGTTCGGCATATTCATATTTATTCAATGCTCCCAATCCCCCACGTAAGTCAAATAGTAGTGCTCGTGGGTAATAATTGGCTGATCCTGATCCATTAGCTACCGATTTATACAAGAAGGTTGATAAATTATGATTGAGTTTGGTGTCTTTTGTATAAGGCACCTGTGACTCTTGGAAGTTGTACAAGTGAGTGGTTGTGTTGTTCGAGTACTGTCCATAAGATAAATTGAGAATCTCACTACTCATTGTTGGTAACAAGTTGGGGGAGGGATGTATCTTTTTGACAAACATTCATAAAGAAAGTTGTGTAGTGAGATGAGAAGTCACGGGACTCAATGGTACTGCATAGGACAAAACGTATAGCGCTACCAACACAATCAAACCTTACGAATAACCATTTGGTTGTTCTAAAAGAATGAACAAAAAGCCCCCACAAAACGAACTTTGTTTAAATTTGTGTGCCTTCTGCAGAAATGTGTCAGTTATCAATAGAATTTAACTCCGTAAGCAGTTGGGGCCCAATTAGAATATGAGTTGTAAGAAGTATGGCTTATGTCATGCACTTTCATCTTCTTGGCTGATATGCGCGTTATGTAAGGTAAGAAGTGCAACACACAAAGGGTTGGGTTTCCCTTGGATGGTAATTAACAATAGACTACTTCTGTATAGACCACTCCAATGTATATAATCTGTTATTGATTGATTGGTATATATACGTGTTTAATAAAAGTATTATGTTTAGTTTAAGAAAAGACGCGTCTGTTGTTAGAAAAAGAAAAAAACAGACAAATTTAAAAAGACCCAAAAGGAGACAAAATAAAATAAAAATAAAAATAAAATAAAAATAAAATAAAAATAAAATAAATCGTAAAATGAAAGAAGAAAAAGAAAAACAGAAAAACAGAAAAGCATAGAGAAAATAGGAGGGAAAAACAGTTACACACAATTTAAAACTTACTAGTAAAACACATTTATCAGTATATATATATATATATATATATCCATTAATCATACCCAATGGAAAAGGAAGATTCATTTGATGCTGGTAATTCCACAGTTGTATCCATACCACGCAGTGATTTAGGTACTGGGCTTCAAGAAGAAGAAGAAGAAGCAGAGAAACAGGAAGTTGACGCTGTCGAATCAAGACACCAAGACCAAAAACAACAACAACAACAACAACAACAACAACAACAACAACAACAACAATCACAGCAACAGGAAAGTGGGGAAGAAGGAAATATTATTTTAAATTCCCAAAACAAAAATTCTCAAGCGACAACTGCAACGACACATTCTCCATCCATTTCTTCCATTTCGTCCTTGGATAGTGATAGTTCAACTGATAAACTTATCAAGTCATTTTCCAAGACCAAATTGACTGATAGCAATAAAGAGAATCAAGAACCTTTTCATCCTAACAACTCAACGGAGGAAGAAGGTAGACCAGCACTAATGGCCACATCCACAGAAACTAGTGTCGCCACCACTACAACGACCAAAGTCACCAAATTACCTCAATCTGTTGCTTCCAAAACCAATTTCTTTAATGACTTGACTAATAAGACTGGAACAACTAGTGCTCAACAACAACCACAGCAGCAAAAGAAGAAACCAATCAAGTTTACAGTGAGAAAAGTGTCTCGTGAAGCCATCAGTAGTCCTTCTTCTCCGACACCTGATGCCATGGCCCATGGATTTAGTAGTAGTAGTAGTCACAGTCACAACCACAGTAGACAAAGCAGCAATGGTAGTTATCATCACAAACCCCCAATTCCAACATCAGCAAATACAAGCATCACTACCAATACAAATACAACATTTACATCCAACAACTCATACCAATCGAAATCACCACAAATGTCAGTATCACCAACGTTAAATCAACACGAATTAGAAACGAGTAAGAAATTATCTGCAGCTCAACACAAGTATGATCAATATGAAACCAGAATTGGTAAAATTGATAAGGAAATCCAGTTTTTAACCAATTTACTCCCTCCTTACAATGTTGATGTTGATTATACTACTAGAGTTAAAATCCAACGAGCAATTGAAAAGTTGCGGGGTAAACAAGATGAATTGGCTAGAAAAAAGTATGGATTGGGTATCACTATTAGTCGACTTTGGCGTGCTAGTGAAGGAAGTGAAATATGGGTAAGAAAAGTTGATTAGGGAGGACAATAGACGAGGGGAAAAGAAGAGTGAGAGAGAAGAAAGCAGCCAGGAGAGGAAAAGAGTCACACTAGGTTTAGTTATTAAGGTGTATTTTGTAATTTATCAAACATTTATAGAAAATAAATTATAACATAAATAAACCAAACAATCAAGTGAATGGCGTCAGTGGTTGGCAGGTTTGGCCAAGAATACTAGCAAAGTGACGATATCTTAAGGTTGAAGAACCGTACCTCTGTTGCAGCTGCTTCTAGAGATACTGCTCATGCTGAAACAATACAAAAGAAATGTGTGTACAGTCTTTTTATTTTTGTTTCATACTAGTGCGACATAGTTATTCATACCAATGCGACATAAACTGGTGTAGGATATATAACATATAAAACATTAATGAAAAATAAAATATATAATGTTTACTTGCATTTTAGAATATTTTATATAATTATCTCGAGTAGTTTTATTATCGTTAGATGTAAAATCAAAGTTCCAATTTATTTTGTCCTTTGCTAGAACAAAATCACATAGGAACAAAAAAAAACTATGACCTAGTGTCGTGTTTTTTGTCGTAACTTAAGAGCGACACGACACAAGTGGGGGTTATACTTGGATTCTCCATTCGCTTTATAAGTAGATACATTTCTCCTAAGTCTATATATATTCCATAACCTAACAACACTAACTTATGGTCTTTACTGTGGCCACATTACAAGTAAGGTTTGAAAATTTATGTCGCCTTAGTATGAATAATAAATATCGCGTTGGTATGAACTAATATGTCGCACTCGTATGAAATAAAATTAAAAAGACTGTAAAATCAAACTTAATAAATGAACGTGACTCTTGAAATATGTTAATTTTAGAAAAAAAATCTTTTTGAATATACATAAATACCTTTGAACAACTTACTTTTATGTATACAATTCTTCAAGTGCTAGCAGCTCTGTTTACTAAGTCTATAAATTCATCCTCTAGAAACCTTAGGAACAATCTGTTGACATTGTTGACATTTGCTGGAATACAATTATGCATTTAGTTTATGCAGATATTCGGAGGTCGACATCCGAGAGGTTAGGTTGACGAATTAGAGAAAAGATGTTTTCAAGAGAATGGAGATTATAAATAGATTCGAAGTTCGCATCCATCTTATATAGTTTGTTAATGGAAATTAACTAGAATAATTCACAAGTACTAGCAAGGACGTATGAGCAATGTTTCAAAGAGTTACCTTATTACAGTGGGCTGTCAAGTATTTTTCGGTTGGCAAGTTAGTTCTTGGTCAGTCTACTGGTTACAACAGCGAAACTGTGAACATAGGTGCTGTGCCGAACAGTCCATAGAGGAACAGTCCACGAAGGAACAGTCTGATGACTGAGTCTACTGATTTGTCAAGCATGACTGATCTGGTTGACGAAGTAATTGGGGTTAAGGAGAACCGAAAGTTGGTGACTTATGAGATCGATTTTGATTATAATAGCCTTGGGGAGGATATGACAGAATACATTGACGATGACACTGACAAGCGTTACTTGATTAAAAATCTTAAAACTTTAATTAAAGTCAACGGATCTAGATGGGTAGCGAATGCGTCAAATGCCATACAGAGGGGAACTTTGAATCTGTTGGAATTCTTCCTTTTTGTAACAATATGACGCATATAAAAAGGATGGAGAAGTTGGTTAGATAGATTTTATAAGAATATTCAATTATAATGTTAATCCTTGCACTGGTGAACTTCAGAGGGAGTTCTATTGCCAGCAAGGCCGCAAGTGTGTTTCCAAACTTGTGTGTAGTGTCTTCAAAAATATAAATAGGGATTAAATTTCCCACTTAGTAAATCCTCAGTTTATAAGTCTTTTTCTTCTTTCTGATTAAGGAATATAAATAATTCAAAGTGATCTATAAAGTTATAAACAGTGTCTTCATCTACTTCCACTGCTCCTCAGTCTACCACTACTGCCAACTCTACTGGTACTTCCGTTGACCCATTACAATAACAAACTTATCTTATTTAATGTTTCACTACTGATATCACTAAGTAAGTAACAACTAACTACAAGATATACATACATATATATATGTATATAATGGTACGTTTATGTCTTACTAACTATCTTGGTATCTAATCTACAAGTTTGTCTACTTTAAAGAGATCAAATTTCAACACCCTTTGATCTTTCTTGCGGCTCCACATTTTGTCTAGAGCACGATTCGAAATTCGGGTCTTACCTATGGGAGGTTGTACTCCTCAAGTTTTAAACCACTCAAAATTATTACAGTCTTTTTATTTTTTATTCATACTAGTGCGACATAATAATTCATACCAACGCGACATTT